GTTCTACTGTATGGGGCGGAAACCTGGAAAACTACGAAATCCATCATCCAAAAGATGCAGGTGTTTATTAACAATTGTCTACTCAAAATACTTCAGATCCGCTGGCCGGACACTATAAGCAACAACCTACTGTGGGAGAGAACAAATCAGATCCCAGTGTAGGAAGAAATCAGGAAGAAGCGCTGGAAGTGGATTGGACACACATTGAGGAAAACACCCAACTGCGTCACAAGACAAGCCCTCACATAAAATCCTCAAGGTCGAAGGAGGAGAGGAAGACCAAAGAATACATTACGCCGAGAAATGGAGATAGACATGAGAAAAATGATCAAAAATTGGATAGAACTGGAAAGGAAGGCCTAGGACAGAGTGGGTTGGAGAATGCTGGTCGGCGGCCTATGCTCGATTGGGAGTAACAGGCGTAAGTAAGTAACTGATCATCATTATTTAGTGGCCCAATAGGATTTCGCAACTTCTCTAACTCACGGATAAGTGAATTCTACATATGTCCAACATGAAGTGACAATTTTGATGAAGTCGTAGATATTCACTAAATATATCTTATTTTTTACAAGTATTTTCATAGAATGCTTTTTCTTATGTGAGCATATCTTCTTATTTTAAAACTATTTAACGTAGAATATATAATGGAATGTGTGTTGATCCATTCGAATGTAGGTTAATTATAAATTTTGGTTAATTATTGCTTCTTAGTTGTTAAAATGTTAGTTAAATTTTAATTTACTGTGCTAAGGATAACAAAAAAAGAATTTAATTTTAGTATAAAGTGATTACTGCTTAACGGTCAACTTTGAGTTTCGGATCAAAAACTTATTTTGTCTCAAAGTAGATTTAAATTTTATAGACCTTGTGCGCCAAAAGTTCGATGTCATTCAAATAAATATGCAGAAAGAAAGTACAGAATAAGATTCTCTAAGGCATACGGATTGACATTTAAGCTTGTAACATCAATACATTTATTCACACTTCTATCTTATTTAAAATATAAAACATTTTATTATTATCTAAATACTGATCATATTATTGAATAAACCGGCCACCCGGGGGCGGTTCGCACTTTGCCCCCAAATGCCGAGAGTGGGGAGAGTCCGTTTTCCCTCTGAAAATGCTCTCGCATGGCCACGCGTATATAACCTCCGACAGGGAAATCCTACTCACTGCCTTCTCGTGGCGGGGGTGTTGTTCACGAAATTGAGAGGACAAAAAGCGAATATCCAGAGCTTTAACCGGATCCCAAAGTAATGGTGTATATGGGCTCCAGTATCCTGAAGGAACAAATGGCGTATGAACCAATCGTTGGTCATCGGCTACCATGGGACTGAATCTCCTTACGATGCTCCACTGCCTTGTGGATCAGATCTTTACGTCGAAGGTTCCGGTTGTGGCCCTCTCAGAAAACCACTTGCTTCGGTTTGGTCACCCGAGCAGTATCACAGCCCGCGATTTGTTTGGCGTATATGTATTTGATGCCTCCTTGTACCAATATCTATGTGTTAAAATAACTAAATAAATAAACTGAATAAACATTTTCTGATGGAGATCTAATGAACAGTAAATAATCAATAAATGACTATTCCATAACTCAATTTTTTAATGGTCTTTGGATTTTTATGAAATTGATTGTTTTTTTCGTTTGTTTGTTTTTTTAAATAAATAAAATGACAATTTCAATCCGTTGAAAATTACAAATTTTGTTGACAAATATATCAGAAATATAAATTATATAATTCGAAATTATTTTTATATAAATAATTTAAATAGAAACTAATAGTTTGAAAAAATTCAGTAAATCATACTGAATGAGTTATTCATTATTTCTAAGAGATGTCAATTATGTAAGTTACATAAAAGTAGTAATCACTATACAGATATAGTTTTAATATAACTAAAAATAATATTTTTTTTGTTTTAGATAATCAATGTTTTTCTTCCATCATAAGAGTCAGAAACAAAAGTTTTTTTGGTTTTTTTTTTGAAAATTATCTAATATTATATAAACAAAAAAAGCAGGAATAGATACTAAGTAACATAGAGAATAGATTGAAAGACAAAAAGAAACATACAAAATGTCAATGAAATAAAATTCTAATTTTAAAAATATAATTCAAAATACAATAATCTATTTATTTAATGTATAATTGAAAAGTTTATCCTATGTGAATAATTAAGGTTGAGTATTGTAAGTGTTATGATTGAAATACTAGTCAATTTACTAATATGACAATTACAAAAAAAAGAATCAGAAGGGGTTTTGTGGAGATTGTAGTAATTTCAATAGTTGAGATCATGAGTCAATTGAAGGTGGATAACTATGGAAAACCTAGAAGCAGTGTATTGCCATTTTATCCTATTGTAAGACTCCTCAGTAGTGCGCATCTTGCCTCGCGGGATTCGAACTCAGTACCTATCAGTCTGGCGCACCAGCGCTTAACCACTAGACTAGTGAGCTAGTCGGCATCCAACGGTGTTAATGTCTAATTTCAACTAATCCACAAAATTGAGCAACACATCAACTTTTGTCATCAGTGAGTTACTATCTCACAACAGACCCGGTTGAACTCCACTGGCGACTGCTTCTCAATAGAACTCCAGGATATACATCTTGAAACCAGTCACTAGTGAGCATATGTTGATTAGTATCAAAAAGGGATTTCGTGGAGATCGCAGTAATTTCAATAGTTGAGATCATAAGTTTAGAAAGATCTACTAATTATTGAATTATTTATAACATTAAAAATAATTACGCAATCGAAAAATTCATTGGTATTAATGGTATATATATATATATATATATATATATATATATATATATTAAATACTGAATATTAGTAAAATATTTTCACATTAACATTTATACATTTAGATAGGAAGCTTATTCTGTTAATCTATTTAAATATCAACATGATATTAATCCGTATGTATCTGAAATTCTTTTAGAAATGTATTTGTTCAACAACAATGATAATAAAGAACTGAAGGGAGATGGCAATGTAATAGAAATAAGTGACTACATTTAATATTAATAAACAACGTTGAGGATTAACAAATTATTTATCTGGGACTTTCTAATGAGAATGTTAATTTTTCCATAAGTATTGAATATGAAGGGATTATAAATTAATCAAATCATAACTTATTATAGGGCTCATCAGAAACTGATCTATAGTGTCCTTCAAATGATCAGGAAATAGTTCCTTTCCCATTACTTAGGTAGTTTATTTTTATGATAATAAAATATTTTATACGTTAAAGCAATTAGAAATACTATTACTGGGAAAATGAGTGACTTAAACTAAAAGTTACATACTCGATACATTTTTAAAAAATGTACAATTTTGTAATTTGAAAGTAGCCATAACATTTTGTCTACTAATTTATTGTTCATATGAACAAACATCCTACTGAATCAAATGTTATAGCTCAGAAAGGATAGTGAATTTATCGACTTCCTCTATGTTTATTCCTAATGATTTACATTTACTCCTACTTGAAGATAGATACTGTTCATAGTTAGCAGTTCATTTGAAAATGTTATAAAGACTAGATTATTTCTTGTAATGCTCCAGTAAAATAGGATAATTAAGATAGGAAGTTTGAAACTTCCCTGTAGCTTTTAATGTGTCCGATTATAATTTCATCGTCTAGCTTATTATTGTTCATTTTAGTCAAATATTTTTCAAAAATGAACAATAAAACCTTTTATTATTAGGGATGCCAGATATTAGTAACACCAGGAAACTGGTAAAAAAGTGAATTACACTATGATATAAGTTGAATATGTCAATCCCTGAATTTATGTATACATTTTTTAAGGCTTCATATATAATTACCCTATCATGTTAGTACGAATGAAAAAATCACTCTGGAATTAGTTCTTGCAATGGTTGTTAAGGATTTACCAATGTTTAATAAAAAAATTATGTACATCTAATTTACATTTTTCGTAGTATTGGAAGTCTGAATGCTTTTCTCATGCACTAATTAGAAACGTTTATAAAAAGTGTAAGTTTATGCCTGAAAACAAATTAATTAGGAATAGGAAACACCAATTTGTTGATTTACACATTAAATATTGAAAAAACACGGTCACTCACAAAGTACTATTGATAGATCGATAAACTGATTTCAACTAAATAGTATTTGGTAATTGATCATTTAAAAATTTCGATTCCTCAACTTAATAAACACATGAAATCGGAATATGAACCTTAAAAATTAAACTGAGAGTATCACTATGTGAACTGAATATCCTGATCTTGAGTATGGCTAGGAATGTAGACTAGAGAAGACACGGAAAAACTAACAATCCATCACATCTTAGTTCTTCAACCAATATCAGTTCATGAAAAGTAATCTTAAGCTCACAGATACGATTGGGGTTTATAATTTTAAAAAAGTTGTAAAATTTATCTTTCGGAATGACTACAGAAAATAGTTAACATGATTAACAGTCATTGATGGGGATTTAGAATAATTCATAGATATTCAAATACTTGAATATAGGATTTCGTTAGAGCAATTAGTTTAATTTCACTTTCGAACTGAATTTCAAACACACTTCATTGTTCTGTCTTATTCTATCATACGCGCTACAACTAGACTGGCCACATGGGCATATTCGTTCAATAAAATGTCAACCAACGTAATTTAATTGTATTATTATTATGTATATTCTTATCGTATATTTATTAGCAAATAGACTACCATATTTATATATTGCGTTTTTCTTAAGCTTCTCTTTACACCATTAACCACTATTTTACTGTTTATAAATCCTATTTTGTTGCCGATCGATTATTCACAGCTTGCCTAAATTACAACAACTTTGAGTCGTTTATGCGTAATAGTTATTTTTCATTTTGTGGTGCGATGCGGTTCAGTATTTTCGTACATAACCCATGTATGCTTAAAATGTAGTAATAACACAAGCTAACGACCGACGTTTTAGACTCAAGTCATAACAAAAGAAAAAAGCAACAGGGGCTTGGTTACGTTAGCCCAAGGTTAACAGTGCTGGTCAGGAGTATAATCGACCAAATCTGGGACACAAGGCTATGGAAGAAATAGTAGACAAGGAATATATGAAATCAGAATTCTGATTGATGACTTTAGAACGTGATATCAGCTAACATCTCAAGAAACAACAATGCTTTTGAGTTTGAAGATGTATTGTAAAGTAGTGCTTAGGACATAGAGAAATATAGGCTATGAAAGTAAATGAAACTTCACCCAAACTACCATTTTGTTCTCACATTATTGAGTTTAACAAAATGTTTATTAAGATGATATATATAATATATATTGTTTAAAATGACAAAATGAAATGAAATTATCCTTGGAATAAACGGATGTTCTTTTTTTAGTCTATGAATAGATATGTTACGTATGTCATGATATGTCACTAAACTTGTTTTACTGGACTGCGTATCTTGGAGTTAAAATGTTCTAACTCTATAGTTTCTAAGAAAAAAGATTTTGTAAAAACAATAAAGGAACACATGAAATCAAGGATTTCTGCAAGTGATAATCGGTATTTTATGCAATCCTCTTTTACACAATTCCTGTATATGAGTTTTGAATTGTTCTACACATTGTTCACAAACAGCGGTAATTAATGGAGTATTAGAAATTGGTGGTATTATTGCAGTGGATGTAGTAGTAGTAGCTGTATTGGATAAATTTGTATCTGCTTCTCTTTGTGTGGTATCATTATTACCATTATCCCCACTTGTACGTATTTCCACATTTCTAGCAACTGAAAATGGCATTATGCTTGCAGCTACGTCATTATGCACAGTATCATTGGCATTATTATTCTGTAAATGTTGGTCTCCACTACTATTGATTGACGATCCTGTTGCACTGTTTACAACGGGACTAAAAGTGATTGTTGAAAACGGACGGCAATGTAATGAACAATGATTGGAAGGAACACGTTCAGCACGACTCTCCATACGTGAACACGAATGATTAAAACTCTGTTGAATATCTACAAGACATTTTTCCAAAACTCTTATTCTTCTTCTAAAAACAACAAAACAATAAATTTATTCACCGGTTAATATAGAGGCTTTCATTCGCATTTTATTCGATCAAAAACAAAACAGACACAAATAAAACGAAACTGTAGGAACAGTTTTTAACGAGAATTTTGATAAAATAAACCATGCTATTATCCACTGTTTAAGCGAAAAACTTGACAAATAACTATTTAGAGTACCGCTTCTCATTCATATGAAGTCAGTTGCATGGAGATGAACACGATATCATTTCTAACGTATGACCCCCGTCCGATGACTTTGGTGATAGCTGTTTTACGCCTGACATATTAGACTAGGATCTTGAAAAACTCGCCTAGACGCTTGTCTCCACCGATAAGGATATATCTGAAACAGTCTTCAGTCAGTTAAAATTAACCTATAGCTTAAAATGGATGTGCATTGATCAAAGTTGTCACATTATATTATCACAAGATCTAATTAACAAGATGGATTGTAAAAGAAACAAAACATTTAAGTGATGAATTATCGTGCGAACTCCAAACAAATAGAAGTAAGCTTGGATTAACAATCTGTGACTTCATATGTCAAAATCATATTTCTTGGTCCCTATCATTTTTCCGACCTAATTTTGCACTAAACTCCGCCTGTAGCCCTTTTCCGGGGGCTACTGCCGGTCCCAAGCCCGGATAAAGGAGGAGGGTTGGGCATGGGGTTAGCGACCCCATCAAGTAGAAAACTAACTCGCTAAAAAAACACTAACCAGAAAAAATTATTCAAACCATTTAAACTCTGCCCTGGGATTCAGAAGGTCTTCATTTAGAAGAGCTATGACGCCTCATGATGAAAGCCGAGTTCCTTAGGAAGTCACGAGGCCGATGCCCCTTCTGACAACCAGAGCAACCATTTATTTAGGTACATGGAATGCTCGTAAAATGTGAGAGACTGGGAGAGTTTTCCAAATTGCTGCAGAAATGAGGAGATATAATTTAGAGGTGCTTGGGATCAGTGAAACACATTGGACGCAAGTTGGACAACAACGACTAGCTTCAGGGGAGCTGCTGTTATACTCCGGACATGAACAAGAAAATGCTCCACATACACAAGGAGTTGCATTGATGCTGTCCAAACAAGCACAAAATGCACTTATAGGATGTGAATCTCATGGATCAAGGATCATCAAAGCCTCCTTCAAAACAAAGAAAGAGGGCATTACAATGGACGTCATCCAATGCTACGAACCTACCAACGACTACAATGAAGACGCTAAAGATCAATTCTACGATAGGCTGCAGTCAATCGTCGAGAAATGCCCAACAAAGGACCTGACCATTCTGATGAGAGACCTAAATGCCAAGGTTGGAATTGACAACACTGGATATGAAGAGATCATGGGACGACACGGACTGGGAGAAAGGAACGAAAATGGTGAGAGATTTGCAAATCTATGTGCCTTCAATAAACTGGTCATAGGCGGGACTATATTCCCACATAAACGCATACACAAAACCACATGGACTTCACCGGATCACAGCACACAGAACCAAATCGACCATATCTGCATCAACAAAAAGTTCAGGAGGACGATGGAGGACGTGAGAACCAAGAGAAGAGCCGATATAGCATCAGATCATCACTTGCTGGTCGCCAAGATGAAATTGAAACTCAAGAGGCACTGGACAATGGGGAGGACAATATCACAAAAATTTAATACGTCTCTTCTTCGGGATAATGACAAACTCAAAAAATTCAAGATAACCCTCAGCAATAAGTTCCAGGCCTTTCATGATCTACTCAATGGAGAAGAAACTACTATGGAGAGCAACTGGAAAGAGATAAAAGAGGCAATCACTTCAACATGTCATGAGGTTCTGGGCCAGAAGAAGCACCATCACAAGGATTGGATCACGGTCGATACACTGGATAAGATTCAAGAAAGGAGGAACAAGAAAGCAGCAATCAATACCAGTCGAACAAGAGCAGAAAAAGTCAAGGCACAGGCTGAATAAACAGAAGTAAACAAGCAAGTGAAAAGGAGCATCAGAACTGACAAACGTAAATATGTCGAAGATTTGGCAATGACGGCGTAAAAGGCTGCGAGAGAAGGAAACATAAGACAACTGTATGACACAACAAAGAAACTCTCCGGAAATCACCGTAAACCAGTGAAAAGCAAGGAAGGCAAGATAATCACCAACATTGAAGAACAACGAAACAGGTGGGTAGAACACTTCAAAGAACTCTTAAATCGACCAGCCCCACTGAACCCACCCAACATCGAAGCAGCACTCACGGACCTCCCAATCGATGTTGGTCCACCAACACTTGAAGAAATCAGCATGGCTAACAGACAAATCAAGTGTGGCAAAGCAGCAGGACGAGACAGCATTCCAGCCGAGGCACTGAAAGCAGACGTAGCGGTAACTGCAAGGATACTCGAAACTCTCTTCAGAAAGATCTGGGATGAGGAACAGGTACCAAAAGACTGGAAAGAAGGACTTCTAGTCAAAATACCAAAGAAAGGCGATCTCAGCAACTATGACAACTACAGGGGAATCACTCTTCTCTCAATACCAGGAAAAGTCTTCAACAGGGTATTGTTAAACAGGATGAAGGACTCCGTAGACGCCCAACTTCGAGACCAACAGGCAGGATTCCGTAAGGATGGATCGTGCACAGACCAAATCGCAACTCTACGGATCATTGTGGAACAATCAATTGAATGGAATTCATCACTCTATATCAACTTCATCGACTACGAAAAAGCATTTGATAGAGTGGACAGAACAACCCTATGGAAGCTTCTTCGACACTACGGCGTGCCTCAGAACATAGTCAATATCATACAGAATTCCTATGATGAATTAAACTGCAAAATCGTGCATGGAGGACAGTTGACAAAGTCGTTCGAAGTAAAGACCGGTGTCAGGCAAGGTTGCTTACTCTCACCCTTTCTCTTTCTCCTGGTGATCGACTGGATCATGAAGACATCAACATCTGAAGGGAAGCACGGGATACAGTGGATAGCTAGGATGCAGTTGGACGATCTAGACTTCGCAGATGATCTGGCTCTTCTATCGCATACACAACAACAAATGCAGGGGAAGACGACCAGTGTAGCTGCAGCCTCAGCAGCAATAGGTCTCAATATACACAAAGGGAAAAGCAAGATTCTTCGATACAACACAGCATGCACCAATCCAATCACAATTGACGGAGAAGCTTTGGAAGATGTACAAACCTTTACATATTTGGGCAGTATCATCGATGAACACGGTGGATCTGATGCAGATGTGAAGGCACGGATTGGCAAAGCAAAAGTAGCATATTTACAACTGAAGAATATCTGGAACTCAAAACAATTAGCAACCAACACTAAAGTCAGAATTTTCAATACAAATGTCAAGACAGTTCTACTGTATGGGGCGGAAACCTGGAAAACTACGAAAGCCATCGTCCAAAAGATACAGGTGTTTATTAACAGTTGTCTACGCAAAATACTTCAGATCCGCTGGCCGGACACTATAAGCAACAACCTACTGTGGGAGAGAACAAATCAGATCCCAGTGTAGGAAGAAATCAGGAAGAAGCGCTGGAAGTGGATTGGACACACATTGAGGAAAATACCCAACTGCGTCACAAGACAAGCCCTCATATGGAATCCTCAAGGTCGAAGGAGGAGAGGAAGACCAAAGAATACATTACGCCGGGAAATGGAGATAGATATGAGAAAAATGAACAAGAATTGAATGGAACTAGAAAAGAAGGCCCAGGACAGAGTGGGTTGGAGAATGCTGGTCGGCGGTCTATGCTCTATTGGGAGTAACAGGCGTAATGTAAGTATGTAATGTAATTTTGCACTATCAAACAAGGGTATTGGAGGTAGACAATGATAAAACATACGTAGCACATATCCTGAATACCTTAACAATTTTTTTGTTATCTTCACCTGATGACCTACTCTTAACTTCAACATTGCTTACTCGACTGTCCGATGATACTCTAGCAATGCTCAGAAGAAATCTATAAATAAAAACATGCAGCCTACTCGAAATTTCTTCTTTTGAGGACGATGTTTCATAGCCACGGAGTAAAACGTCCAGAACTACTGTGTAGTATACTCGTTCTTCGGTGAGCACATGGACATCTGCCTTAAACCACGAGTGAAACAAGATGGAAACGATCAACAGAGATGTTCAGCGCTCCTTGAATAAAGCTAATTCTGAAATTAGTACTAATTTGTCATGAAGCTCGTCTTAAAATTGAACAAAACTACACGAAGCACTCATCTGAAGAATGAAAAGGGCACATTTTTTTATCATACATAAATTTTCATAGGGAACGAACTTGTTTGCAGTAATCATATCTTAAACACTATTGAAAATACCATACCTGAACGAAAATTCAGTTATAATCGTCAACTGAATCATTGGTGAATATCAAAGCCAAATACCACCGAGCACTGATTTTTTTTTATAAATAATTTAAAACTTCTTGTCAGTCAATACACGATAGTAAAATTAATAAGCTTAATAATAGTCGAATAATAATTAAAGCTTAAATATAACAACAATATCAACTAGACAAGCAAGAGACTAATATTAAGACTTTTAAGGATGTTAATGATTAAACAAAAAATCAACAGGTCAATATTTTACAATCTGGTGTTTAATTACTAAGAACCAATAATTTGGTTTTTTTAAAAAAAAAACGTGTTCATAAATTTTTACTAAGGTTTCAATTGGCTGAATACTCAGACTACTTTTTAAAATTATTATTTGAACACATAAATACTGGTGCAAAGAGGCACCAGATACATATACGCCACACAAATCTCAATTGATTTGTGTGAGGGCTTTGATGCTTCCCGGGTGCCTAAAACGAAGCAGATACTCAGACCATACTATAATGAATAATATACAATGGAAGTCGATAAAATCACTATCTAATAAACCGTCTATACTCTCGTTTTTTTTCTTTGCAAACAACATTTTTTTTCTTATATACAATCAATCATTATGAAGTGTATGATAAAATTGTTTGCATTTTATTTAATGAACTCATCTTATCCCATATTGTGAAGAAAGATAATTCTATATTTTATTAATTCGCCATACAATAGATATTATAGATAGTATTCAACGTAGTAATTAGACAAACTACGATTATAAACAATCGATCATTTCAATGTTGACTTTTACAAAATGATTAGTTTTATGTATATTTTTTATGGTTAACATTGACAAATATCATCTTCATGTTGGACATAAAGCATTTTAAACAAGATAAAGATGAGTCTGTCAAATTTTTTTAATAAAAAAGAAACATTAGATAAGTGTAGCAGAACACTTTCTATTGAATACTACTAACGATTGATTGATGTATTATATGCATTTATGACAAGTATAGACGATCGACTACATTTTTATCGTTAAGATTTAAAATTTACTATAGGAAGAAAAATTTTGATATAACGGATGGTTTCTATTACTTGTTTTTCCCTTTCTCTGTGGTATATAACGATAAAAAGTCAGTACGATTATAAAACTAGTCACGTTATATTAGATTCAGAATTTATGATCCGGAATGGAGAATCAAATTAGCAGTAGCTAATGCTTTATTCAAAACGGCTACAAGCAGTTATACTCAATGAGTCCGGAGTAAAAATCAATGAGGAAAGGAAATCACATATTTATTAGTCGAAAGTTTAAATGTATGTTTGTCCACGTTTAATGACAAATCATATTTTACTCTCACTACTATATTACCAAATTTATAATCTTCCATATGTACGAGAATACTTTTCGCCTATCATGGTTGTATTTTACTGCTATAAAATCATTATTTATGTAATTCAGTAATCGAGTAAACTTTTACATTCATAGCTGTGTTATATATTTAGTAGTAGGGTTAAAGTGAACAGTGGAGTTTGGAACTAGCAGACCAACAAACACCAGTTCACATTCTATTACTGTAATTGACATAAGGTGAGATGCGATGAACACAATTTTCACAATGATTGATCAACTAAATAATTGAAATTTTTTACTGAATGTTTTACAAATAGATAGGAATTCCATTTTATTATAGATGTGATGTTATGTTTAAGCGATAGTATCACAACAAATTATGAATAATTCAAACAACTTATCACAACACATTGATCCATTTAAGCAATTCAACATGATCACTTAAACGGCTTTCTTTACAAAATAATCCGATTATACTAACAAAGGTTTAAGCAGATTTCTATTTCATTAGGCTTCCTTAATATGCTCCTAAAATCAGACAGTTGTTAGAGCGACTATAATTCACCAGAAACCTGATATGTGCATTCAAAAAGAAACAGTGGTTAACCTTTCTCTATCCTGATAACATAAACTCTGTATCGCTACATCATTTTTTCGACTCTACTCAAGTTCGTAGATCCATCTACATCTCTTTGGGAAACCGTATAGTATCACTGGCCCTCAGGACCAGTGTCGCTTAAAGCCAAGTACGTAAATTCATGTGGTTAGTAATGTAGTAGTAATAGTGCTAGGCAGGCCTAAAATCAGTTATGACGAGTGCACTAGGTTTCACCAAAAAAATTGGAAATAATATCAAATTGATCAACGTCGTAAAGATCAATCTATAAATAACCTACAATTAATTTTAGAAAACGAAATAATTAGGTCACTACAGAATAAAATAATTTCTTTTTTCTATCTGGAATAGAAGAATTAAAGCATCAAATAAGACGGCAAAACTTGGTAACGTCTTCTAAGAATCATGAGAAAATAAGTAAAGTATTTAACTGGAAGTCATGCAGTTTAACATCTTGAGATATTGTGAAATAATTGTAGAATATATAACCACATGTAAAAACAGTTTAAAGGACAATAGCTCACTCAAGTACTTCATTTTTAAGTTCCATTGATAAATTTATTTCTTCAAATGCTTTAACCATCCGACCGTAATCTAAACGAGCACAAGAATCCAAAGCTGCTTGTCGTAATCTACTCAGACCATATAAATCGGCTATCCGGAGAAACAATGGTGCAGTTACATCATTGAGACGAAATGTAAGTGTCCTCTCAGCCAAGCTAACCATAGAATCGATTTGGTATCGATGTAAAATAGGCAGCAACTTTTCAGCTGTTTCAGCTTGAATATGAAATAAGACAAAAAAACGTGACTACTGGGGAACTAACCTTTTAGTTTTTAGAAAGACAGCACATCACAGTTTTGGGATTGGTAACAAGTAACAACAAGACAACAAAACAGGTAATTCGAGACTACCATCTATACGAATAATTAGTACTAACAATTTTCCAATTATTTTTTTCAGGTAATTTACAATCTACTTAAAACACAACTAAGTAGATTGTACAAATGAGTATAACATTTCACTGGTAGTTACACAGTTAAATATTGATATATAAAAAAGTTCCAGTATATATATATATATATATATATATATATATATATATATATATATATATATATATATTCAAGTGTTGAACAATCTTTTCACTTCAGAAGTCCAAATTATTTTGTTTCAAACGAAAACACATTTCAGATAAGAAAAACAACTAATAAAATAAGAGTACGCTGGGTGAACATAGTTATACATATCATCCTAGACATATGCATGCTGAACAGCTTCTGACATAATTGCAGATGGATAAAGATGCAATTCCTAGAAAAGCAAAGATACATGACAATAAAAATCAGGTCACATAATCGTTATTATCAAGACAAATACAAGACTACACCATTTGTTCAACCATGAAATGGTTATCGAAGGATAGAGGAGCAAATAATTGCAGTATAAATTAGAAAATAATAACGCTCATGGTTACAAGCGAATAACTAAAAGAACAAAACATGGAAATTTACACAATAACCAATGATGCTAAAGTGATGTGTTTGTCTGGAAGATGTAAGAAATTCACACACATGATATAAGCAGCCACTACAAACCACATTTATGGACAATCATGGCTAAATACTCAAATGTATTGTTTTCATGCAACAGTAACTCATCAGCAACACACAAATCTATTTGTACTCGATCCATAAACAGTCTAAGAACCTCCACCTAGAATTCAGCACCACTGTTTGCCTCCTAGTGAGAAAAACTTAACGGGGAATACCATGAATGCTAGAAAAATTAAGTCCATGTATTTATTGGACAGAGTATGTATATCATAAATGTAATTAATAAAATGAGACGTGAAACTAAAATAAAAATCCATACCTGTCATATCACAGCCACCAGGTGTGTACATGTGACGCAACATTTCCCTTATGTCATCAAACTCATCAACTGGAATAACGACTTCATTTTTTTGATTTTCCTAAAAAAATAAACAAAGCACAACTAATGAGAAATAAAAACAATAATGTAAACAACAAATATTAGGTTTTTAAAAGCATTTAAAGGGAAAATAGCCCAAAAATAACCCGAATACAAAACTCAAAGTTCAAGCTTTCTTTTAATATCACTCATGAAGTTAGAAATAATACGCAAATATACTAATCAAGGTCATCCTAAAACTGTGACACCAAATGAATTAAGTCGATGTGCTGGAATACACGATGCGGAACCTCTGTAGTACTGTCATAATGTTGCCACAGGAGACGACGTTGATAAAACACAGAGGGTTGTTGATAACCTCAACTCGGAGAGGTCAGGTTTCAAAAGCATAAACCAAGGCTACACTTACCGACCCATTATAGACCTTTAACAGCTAAACCAGCATCACGAAGGTATAAAAGATAGCCCATATTGGCATAAGCCGTTCCTGTCTTTATTATACGTGGATTAATCTCATCAATCACATCATCATCAGCACTTACGCAGCTATCCAGATACACGAAGGATTCTATCCACTCACTTCCAAGAGTGAGTGTAGGTTCAGGATCCTGCCAGTCTTGCAAAAGTACTTTACAAATGGATGCAAGGCAAATGCTACACTGCAAAGTCGCGCAGAGATGACAGCTGACAGACGCATCCCAAGTGAGGACCAGAGTCAGACAATGCTGTTTACTCTTTCCCTTCCTTTTTCTTCTGATGGTTGATTGGGTTATGAAGACCGCTATATCTCAGGGGAAGTGCGGAATACAATGAACAGCTTGAATTCAACTAGACGATTAGGACTTCGCTTTTACTCCATGCATATCAACAAATGCAGATGAAGACAACCAAGGTAGTAGCAGCCTCTGCATCAGTAGGCCTCAACATACACAAGGGAAAGAGCAAGATCCTCAAATACAATATAGAGAACACCAACTCAATCACACTTGATGGAGAAGCTCTGGAAGAGGTGGAAACTTTCACGTATCTAGGAAAAACCACCGACGAGTATGAAAGATCTGATGCAAACGTAAAGGTAAGGGCAGCACTTTTACATTTGGAGAACACAAAAAACTCAAAACCACTTTAACCTACATCAAAGTCAGAATGTTCAATACGAACGTCAAGACAGTTCTACTGTATGGAGCTGAAACTTGGAGAACTACTACAACTATCATAAAAAAGTACAAGTATCTATAAACAAATGTCTACGTAAGATGCTGAATGCCCATTGGCCGCATACCATCAACAATAGTATACTGTGGGTAAAAACAGACCAATTTTTAGATGAAGAGAGAATTAAAAGACGTTAGGAGCGGATGAGGAGCATTACGGAAATCACTAAACCGCATCACGAGGCAAATGTTAACTTGCAATCCTGAAGGGAAACTGAAAATAGGAGAACCAAAGAACATACCGCGTCGGGAATTGGAAGCAGACATCAAAAGGATGAATAGCAACTCGAATGGATCGCCCAGAACAGAGCTAAATGGAGAATGCCGGTGGGCGGCTTATGCTCTTCCACGAGTGGTAACAGCTGTAAGTAAGTAAGGTATATGACATACCTATGGACACAGACTGTCAACTAATTGAGGATTGGAAGGCTTGAGTATCATCGCACGTTGAGACAATATCATCCACAGACTCAAGATCGAAATAGTCTTTCGTTAAGCATCCGTTCAACACTTAAATCCGGCATAGCTGTTTCCAGAACGTCATCAACTATCGATTCATCCAACGAGCACTCTAATCGCCAGACGTTCATAAACGATGTCAGTTCCATAACCAGAATGTCGTCACCATCATCAAAAAGGGCCGGAGGTAAGTCATTTGGGCCTGGTGGTTTGCGGCATTTCAAGAGCTGGGTGTCCTTGTTGCCTTCTGACTCGTTAAGTGGATCAGTTTTCACCCGCCATGACGGATAGGACAGTCTGATCGATGTCACCGGGAAAGTAAACCATTTAGACTGCTCTTCGAAAATTTATTCACCGTCCGAGATTACAGTAGATGTGAGTGACTGAGATCCCATCGGCTTCACATATTGCTTCACTAGCCCTGGAACTAGATCGGTTTGATAATCAGTTACAATAAAAGTTAAAACCAATTTGACATCGACCCAATCATGGCAATGAGTTTGTTGGTCACTAAAACCTGAGATAACACAAGAGCAACCAAGGGGATGATCAGGGTTTAGGTTATTGCAAGAGTCCTGTTCAAGTCCCTGGAAATCCAGAGACGCCAGGAAACCTTTCTTCCAACCAGCGTCGAATAGAATCTTCGTAGAATGACCGGAAATTTTATATTTGTAGTGATTAAATATTTCTAGCAACTCGAAAGTGTTTGTCATCGGGAAGTAATCTTGGTTGAACTCCAAAAGATAAAGTTCTATGAACAGATGAGTATTCTGTGCTATAGCTCATGATTAGTGTACACTTGTGAATCCTTTTAGTTACGAGGTTAGGATAACTTGACTTCACCATAAAAGGATCAACGTTTGTGCCTCCGACATTATTTAAAATTCTAACAATCGTAAGTATACCCTTCAACAAGGACCAGATAAAACAGCTTGAACACTAATTACCGTATTTTTTTACTGTTCAGTTAAAAGAGTGGTTACAGTATTTATCACTTGAGTACCTAAAAATGAAACTCAATGATTAACAACGATTTACAAATCAATGCAGTGGTTTGTGGAGATTGTAGAATTTAATAGCTTACATTACGGACTGATTGCAGTTAAGTAACGATCACTGACAACTAAGAAGTCTCTCACATGGACAAAACAGCTATTCAGTGCTTCCATAATTCTATGGATATCTAACTAAAATCAGTCCCTGATGCGAACTGCGAAATTCGCGATTTCTTCATTATATTCTGTCAACATCATATCAACATATAAAAAAAACCACGCAAAGTAGTTAAAAACCAAATAGTGATTCATTGAACAATATCAGTCTTTAATGAAAAAAGATTTTCATCAATAGTTATTATATAATAGACTAAAGAAAATGAGTGAACAATGAATAAAATTGCTTTCCCCCGTATTAATTTATAAATTTATTAGATAACCTGGTTAACGATTAAAGAATAACTATTTGGTAAAGATACAACATTTTGTGTGGATTTTTAACCGATAAAGATTTATGTTTGATTAATTTACCAACTAAATAAATTATTCAATAAAACTATTCAAATCACATGGCGCGACGAATCAGAATGTGAAGTTATATATATATATATATATATATATATATATATATATATATATATATATATATATATATATAATGACGTCTAATTAACGAAATGCAATGTATTCTCTTAGTCATACGTCTTTAACGTCAAAATACACTTTTATAAGGCAAAAACAAATTCTCCTGCCCCATGCTGGCACTGCGGTGCATGGCATTTTGTTCGAAGCTGTCCATATAAACAACGTCGGTGCAGGAAATGTAAAGCTGTGGTTCATAAAGATGGGTTTTGTCAAAAAAAGAAGCCGAGCAGCTCCAGAAGTACCAGAAAACCTGTCCCTAAATCCTGCACAAACTCGTTGAGTCTAATAGCAGCCTGTCAGAAGATTAGAAAACGAAAGCCAATTAATAAAGTAGATCGAATATTTCTTGGAGAAAAATGGTTAAATTCTGTCTAGATTGCTTTTGTTCAATAAAGAAGTTTTCTAAACTCTTTTAAGCATATTTAATAGCAATTATTTGCCTTTCTACCGTTCAAATTTTCATACTATTTGGTCAAAAATGAATACAACTGTGGACTAGTACGACAACTTGTTATTGATTACTTTTAGACAATTCAACTAATGTCAGGCAGGCAGAAGAAAAACACACTTAATGATTTCTAGATTACATTTAAAGTACAATTGAAAGTATTTAATGTACAACAATTTGACTAGATGCTTTATTTAGCTAACTAATAAATATTCAGACAGAAACTGAAATGGCAACTATTTAAAATGGAAACCTTTTGCATTAGAGACAACTATGACTGTCAAATTATTTGACCAAAATAATTTTCCCTACAGAATTTCATTAAAATCACTATAAAAGTAATATCAATAAAAGTAAAGGGATACTTTTACCCATAAGTTGCATTTTTTCTTCAACTACTGAATTAACCAAATTTTTCTTGTCATACATGGATGGTTTTTTAGTGTGACTTATTGATTTTTCGCCGTAAATATACTCAATCTCCATGGCAGGTCTCCCCAGTGAATTATGATTGAATGATGGGAATAGATTTTTTGTTACGACCCTGTTAATGATTAGGTGGTAAGGCGCTAAGAGTGAAGATTAGTAAACTTGAACAAATTGCACTACATATATACTAATTTCCTATATCTTACATAATGTTAAACAAAACTAGTAATCACTTACAATGCATCGATTTTGAAACATAGCTTTGAATACAGGTGAATAGATGGATAGAATAGCACGATGACAATGAAGATTTCTACCTTGAACAATCAGAACAGCATCACTGAATAGAAATGGACTGCTAAAGTCTAACACATCATGTTCATCTTTCTGCGGTTCATTATCATCAACGTCACAACTGAAACAAAATAAAACAAATTACAATCAGTTATGTTTCTACCAACACATTCAAAGTAAATTAAGCTTTAACCTTTGATCAAATATCATCTGGATATTCTGAAGAAAAAACTGCACAAAACTCTGATTATACCTTGAATATATTTTGAGAAAAGATAACGTACAGTTTAAAACTAATACATTCATGAGTCATATATTTTATTACGAAGTAAACAGCAATAAAATATGTACTTAGTGTATAAAGGCAAATTGTAGACATGATTGGGATGTTTGTGGAGTTTGCAGTTTAATTTTTATCATGGATTCTGAACTAGGAAGCATTGGATAATGGTTTCGCTGAATAGGAGACGATATAAATTCTAACAAGTTATAAGAAAAATTATTCGAATTACAATACAGTTCGATAGAGGTCGCTGAACTTTTTGTTGTTACATGGCAAACTGACCTTATTTAGACAACCATCTAAAACAATACACTAACAACTTTGCAGAACAATGAAAAGTGACAAGTCCATGGACTGCAACAGTAGGCTTTCTTCTGAAATCTTTTAGAAAACTACTTCCTGAGTTCTGTCGTTCTATAACGCCACCCATCAACATGCTAATATTATGTTTGCTGAACAATATTCCGGGATTATTGTGAATTAGTAAAAGCAGCCGTAAACATTTTCCGCTACGTTTTACGAACAATTCATCATGAAATCCAATAAAAAACAGGTTCGCAAGTCACTTAGTGTAATTTGGAAATAACTGAAAAAAAGGGAAGTTTATAACCTGCCTGATAATAAAATTATGTCAATCGGAACAATCATCAATCAACCTAGTAGACTCAGTATGCAACTATGGACCAAGGTACAGTTCCATATATTAAGTTGTGCCCTTTGTGTGACTGCTAGTGTGACACTATTGGTCTAACTAAAATAATACAGGCCGGGCGTGTTAAACTTGCAGCCCGATAGTTGAAATTCACATGGTTTAACCACGAACATTTCATCCTCAGGAACATGAAATACAGAGCAGTTATCAAAATAACATTATCAATTTATCAAACATGAAGCGTACAACGTAAGTTGTTCAAACTCAGCACACTTTCCAAAGAGTAAATATTTATTAAATACTCATATTTTCTTGCATATGAACAGCTCAACAATATCTTTAGTTGCACGTAATTTGCATCCATTAATGTTGAAGTTTAAATAATCTCATAGAAAGACAGATTTCTTATTGTATCAGATGACAAGTATCTCAAAGATCATATTCAATTAAACAAATTTTAACTAATTTACTTTCATTTTAGTAATATAAATTAAATCATACAGCATGTTCAGAAACTATATACGCTATTGATCAGGTGTACAACACATATTACCGATACTGAGTTAATGACAGTTTCGATGCTTGATTAAACAACATAATAATTGTATTCTAATAGATCAAAAAAAGCTATTTGATCATTGTTTCTGTTAAAAGCATCGATCGTTCTTCACTTTAGCAAGTTTTTAATGAATCAATACACATCCAATTATGTTTTAACATAGTGACAACTGTGATATTCATAACAAAGATGAAAATGAGGTCAAATTGGATAATAAGAGAATTGCTTTATACAGACTAATGTTTTTTAAACATTGCATGCTTATCTAGTGTATAAAATTATAACTTCAATTACTAGATAAACTAACAGTTCAAGTTGAGTATTTAGTAAATGAGCATATAAAAGACGCTTACAATATGAATGGTTTATTTATTTATTTATTTATTTGAACACATAAATATTGGTACAGGGGGGCACCAAATATATATGCGCCACACAAAACAATGAGAATTTGAAGAGAAGAAGAAAAGAGAAAAAAAAGTAATGAACGTGGGGAATTATTAAAAAAAAGAGAGAGAGAACAATGGTGGAGGAAACGGAAAGGTTCAATCAGAAGAGATCTTTCAGTTAAGGAAGATACAACCACTTTTTATGAAGAAAGTAAAAGAAGGTTACAGCAGGATCGCCACTGGCTTCTATTCTGAGCCATATCTGATAACGTCTCTAGCCACTGCGTTACACCGTCTCTCGGACCCCAACCAGGGAGTCGTGAAGGACCAACAGAAGCTAGCCCTTTGCAGCTTTCTTTCACACCACGACACCATGTCATATACTGACCACCTCTCCGCTGTTTCCAACCAGTCCCAGAGTCGGCAAATAATGCACGACGAGGAATTCTCTGGGACGACATTCGTAGAACATGTCCAAGTCACCGAAGTCGGTGTTTCAAGATGGTGACACCAATGGAGTTATCGTCTCTGTGACCGAACACTCGGTGCCGAACCTCTGCATTACTGACATGCTGTTGCCACTGGATGCCAGCAATCCTTCGGAGACAACGACGATCGAACACAGAAAGTCGTCTAACATCCTCAACTCGTAGAGGCCACGTTTCACAAGCATAGAGCAAAACTGCTCTCACCGACGCGTTGTAGATCCGACCTTTTACAGCCAGACTATCATCACGAAGGCGCCAAAGATGGCCCAGATTGGCATAAGCCGCTCTGGCTTTCACTATACGTGCATTGATCTCATCACTCACACCACCACCAGCACTTATGCAGCTACCTAGATACACGAACTTCTCGACCACTTCTATCTGCTCACCATCGAGAGTGAGTACAGGATTAGAATCCTGCCAGTCTTGTAGAAGAACTTTGCACTTCGAAGGTGCAAAGCACACACCATACCTACGGACACTGATTGCCAACTGATTAAGTGCGGATTGTATGGCTCGAACATTCTCGCACAGTAAGACAATATCATCTGCATACTCAAGGTTGAGAAGTTTTATTCCAGGCAACAGATTTACACCACCATTACTTACATCCGTCAGAGTTGTTTCCAGAATGTCATCGATGGCAAAGTTGAAGAGGAATGGTGAGATTGGGCAACCCTGCCTAACTCCACTGCTTGAATGGAATAGTGGAGAAAGGTGGTTGTATGCCCTCACTCTGCCTGAGGTGTTTGTGTATAGGGCTTTTAGGATGTTAATAAACTTCTCAGGCACATCCTTCTTCAATAGACAATCCCAGAGAACAGTTCTGTCCAACGAATCGAAGGCAGCCCTGATATCAAGAAACATTACGATTGTTGGCCTTTGATAAGTATGGCGGTGTTCTAACACTTGGCAGAGGGTGAAGATATGATCAATACATCCTCGACCAGAACGAAACCCAGCCTGCTCCTCGCGAGTCAATCCTTCTCGGGTTCTGAACAACCTGCGAAGTATAACGGAATCCAATAGCTTGGATGAAATCGGAAGTAGACTTATCCCCCGATAGTTGTTACAGGAACGACGTGAACTCTTCTTAAAGATAGGGACAACTATCGACTCATTCCATGACGTTGGTACACTCTCTAGTTCCCAGATCTTTGTAAACAACGTCGTCAGTCCCTTAGTCAGAAAGTCACCACCATCTTTAAAAAGAGCCGGAGGTAAGTCGTCTGGGCCCGGTGATTTGTAACGTTTCAAGAGTTGGAGTTCCTTGCGGACTTCCGCCTTATTTGGCGGATCAGTCGTCACCGGCCATGGAGGGCAGGACAGTCTGACCGATGTTGCTGGAGCAACAGGCCAGTTGAACTGCCCTTCGAAAAATTCCACTCATCGTCCAAGACGTCGATGAATGTTAGTGATTGGCGTTCCGTCATCCTCGCAGATTGTTTCGCTCACACCAGACTTCTTGCTGCCAGTGGCTCGGATGAGTTGGAAGAGCTTCCGGTAATTACCAGATGCAGCTGCTGCTTCCAACTCACTGGCACGCTCCAACCACCAGGCTTCTCAGTCCTTACGCAAGCTTTGCCCGATTTCATTACGTAACATCCTTCGTCTGTGGTCAAACTCACGGTCAACCGGAGTAGACCGACGGGCTTCAATCAATTGTAAGGAATCATAAGAAACCCAGTGCTTGTAAGCGGGACGTTTCGCAAACCCACAACAGACTGTACCGGCCATTTTCATGGCGTCATGCAATTGCAACCAATGCTCATCTATACTTTTCGGTGGAATGGTAGCTAGCCTAGAAGCTAGCTCGGTTCGGTACATACTAGCAACAGAAGTTGCAGCCAGCTTGCTAACATCAATCCTGTGGTGGCGGTCACTTCGTTGTCCACTGAAAAGTAAGGTAAAATTGGCGCAGACCAGAGCATGATCAGATTCCAGATAGGTACTCCAAAAGGAGCGGCAGTCTTGTACACAACCACGCCAGCGGTAGCTGATCGCGATGTGATCAATCTGAGTCCAGGCTTGAGATGCAGAAGGGGGACGCCAGGTGGCACATCGGCGATGACTGTGCCGAAAGTTAGTGCTAGCCAGAAACAGGTTGTGGTCTATGCACAATTGCAGTAGACGTCCCCCGTTATCTGTCCTGCGACCAACGAGTCCCCACCGGCCACCTAAACTTGTACAAATTTCTGATGGATAAAGATGATACTGCCATATATGAAGTAAAATAAACTTACACTAGCAACCAGTGAGACGTATACCTTATCGAATGCGCTTGTGCACTGACAAAGAAGGTCGGATATCGATTACTGCAGTTAGAAAGCATTTTGTTTATAATACAAAACAGTTTACATACTTAGTTTGGATGGTAAATTATATTGAAGGTTGCTAGTTTCTGACACTGGACCGGATTACTTCAAAAACCTATGCCTTTAATAATTAATTCCTCTGTTTGTACCTAGTGGAGAATATACAGCTCGATGTGATACGTTACTTTTATGCCTAATTCATCTAGAAGTAGATAACCACGTTATTGAGAAAACGGTTATCTTTCCATACTCACAGAGAAATGATCAAAGTCAATATAAGTGGAGCTCTAATAATCATAAAATGTAGCAAATTTTATTTTTTCGACCTTAGATAAGTTGATGTCTGAAAATATAAGTTATTTTCACAGCCAATGTGCTTCTCATCAACAGACACTACTCTGTAAAAAAAATACGGTAGCCGATTACTTAGCAGGCTTAATATAATGAAATCGAGTTGTACTAAAACTAAAAGTTAGTACCTCCAAGTGCCAGTTATCATCAAACTTATCACCAAACTCAATAAATAGATAACGAAGTCGAGTGATTATCATGAAAATTAAGTTTATCGAAGTCAAAACGGAAGGATTAACTGAATATATTACATGTTGTTGGTGTCCACCTGTTGCTCGAAAACGTTGAAATCTAAGAATTTAACGGTGGTATGCGAACCAATTCAAGTTCCTACACTTCCAATCAACGCAATGAGAGGAGATTAGGACTCGTTACAAAATGATAACATCTCCAACCAAAGATCATAGTTATCTCGTGAATCGCAACTTCAGTCTACATTCGTTGACAGCTTAAATATCAGCGGTTATACTGGGTGGAAACAAAGTAGATTACTTACTTTAAATTCCATCTTTCAGGCTCTATTACTCAAGGATCCAGTGAGCAAATGTCTTATTGTCAAGTCGTACTCAACTATTACGAAGGGAATTTTAAATATATTGAAAAATGGCAAGATTGACATCTGTACATATGTTTCTCTTCCTCTAAATGCAAAATATTGCTTTAGGACGTCCATGTTATGGCCTAGACTTCTTAATAATAATAAGAATTGCTTTATCAAATATTATTTGTTTACCACTACATGTAATCCCCAACATGTGAATGATAGTGATTGAAGTAGTTGGGTGCGTCAACCACTTAAATTAGAAGTCTCATCAGCCCTGACGGATTGGCATCTTAACAAATCTTGGCGGGGATACAGAAAGCTCATTTGGGTTTGTCAACTGTGACTTTCTGAGCAGCTGAGACGTCTGTCTGTCATTGAAATAGCGAACATATTGTCCAGCATTTTGCGGTTTTAATTTTATGGCTGTGAAACATAATCTATGGGGCAGTGTGCAAATGTAGGCTACGAGTTTTAGATTACAGGTGTCGCCGAAGTGTTGCTCACAACATTGAACGAAGAGAGCAATGCTGATATTAGACATAGGAAATCGGTTGATCGGGATGCAAACTTTTATCGACCAAGGGAACTGGAATAAATGTCGCGTTTCTTCAACAACGGCCTACCTAGACATGTAATGTTGGCTAGTATAGTAGTGAATCAGAAGAATTAACTTCTTATGCTCTTTTAATTCTTAGGATCCAGTCTTCCTTTATGAGTAACTTTTCATCCCTTCCTCCGGAATCATATTCTCAATATTTATTGTTTCTCAGTAGTACGTTAATTGTGACCTGCTTGCCATTCATCTAAATTTAATCTCGTTGTAAAGATTTGACGTGATGACTCGGGTAAAGCACATCTGTGTGGCGCCGTAATCGTCATTATTGTACAGATTTCTAGATAATTTAGATGTAATGCAGTCTATTTGTTGCACAACACTAAGTGCCCCCAAATGCCCTGGTACGGCCGAGAGTGGGGAGAGTCCGCTCACCCACGCGTATATAGCCTCTGCCAGGGAAGTCCTACTCACTGCCTTCACGTGGCGGGGGTGTTGTTTACGAAAATGAGAGGACGAAAAGCGAATGTCCGGCGCTATAACCGGATCCCAAACCAATGGTGCACATGGGCTCCAGTATCCTGAAGGAACAAATGGCGTATGAACCAATTGTTGGTCACCGGCTACCATGGGACTGAATCTTCTTACGATGCTCCACTGCTTGTGGGTCAGACATTCAGGTCGAAGGCTCGGGGTGTGGCCCCCTAAGAAAACCACCTGCTTCGGTTTGGGCACCCGGGCAGTATCACAGCCCTAACACTTATCAAATGAGATCTGTGTGGCGCATATGTATTTGGTGCCTCTTTGTACCAATATCTATGTGTTGAAATAAAATAATAAATAAAATACAACACTAAGTGGCAGAGATGGTTTAGAAAAGTTAATTAGGACTGTCAGGCAAACAGTATCTTCACGGATTAAAGTTGCAGCGAAAGTACTTTCAACAGTACACATAACTCGGAAATTACTATAACACAAAGTTCGAAGCCAGGTCAAAATGACGAGACTTAGTGTTTAGGTTTTTAACTATCGTGGTTAGTAACAAACCGAAATAAAGTGCTCCCCACATCAACATAATAAGACCAAACACTGACGATTGTGTGCACCAATCAGTCCGCAGACTTGCAATACTTTGGTCAAATGATTCAATGTGTCTGATTTTGCTCATTGCCAGATAAGTACTTTTCCTAACTGCACATAGATTTTCACAAATTGAAATCTAAATATTTAACTAGAATTTTCCATTTTAAACAATCATTTTAATGCTCTTAAAGGACAATTCTTAGTTATACTATATAGAAAATTTTCCGTCGCTTTAAGTAAACTAAAACTGCTGAACAGGTACTACAAGGGCTGAATATTGGGGGAAACTTATGTGGCCCTTAGGCAGAAATCACCACGACCATTTTCGGCAGTTAACTCCCAAACAAATGCTGACTTAATGTATCAACAATAATCCTCACTAACAATTTTAATTGATAGGTCAGGTGCTAAAGTAAACATTCCTTTAGAGACATTTGATGGAACATATTTAATTAAATCGCCATAAGCAGGCAAACATTTTGAATATATATATTCAAAATTCATAATACTAATTAAGGAAATCTGAGAAAGACCTATCTTGTAAACATGAGACTTCAGGTCAATTAGGTAAAAATAACAACAAATTGTCACCTAGAGAGTTTATAAGTAGTTTCCAGTTTCACAACAAAATTGAACTCAATATGCAATAGAAATGAACGACCTGATAGTTTGCGCATCTTTAAACCAGAATTGTGAGAAACTAAAACTTACTCGGCTTGTATGGCGATTTCACTCACATTTGGAGCAGTGCAACTCAATCTCTCGATCTGCGCTGCCCGAAACACCGACATTCGTGTATTAAGGAAATTTTTATTCTTGGCGGCTTACAAAAATCCTTCAGGACAGTACGGGCCAATAAAAAAACTGAAATTGAGGTCATTATAAAATTCTATGTATAATTTTTATTCAAATTATTTTAATATATAACTGAAAAATGTCCTTCTTAATAGTTTTTGTATTTGTTTGAACTTACTATTTATGTTAGCTGAGTAACTAAGACAATTACAAATATCATCTAGTTAATATTGTAGGTATAATTTTTATCTGTTGATCAAATTTGATAAATTCTAAATTTCTTGAAATGGAAGTGGTTCCTCGATATGAATATGAGGTTATTATTCCACCAGAAGGTGGTTACGTTTCTCTTGAATCAAATGTATACAATATGAATAATATTCATAAACGAATTACTGACGATCAGTATGGTGTAATTTTTATTGATCCAACTACAAACAATACAGCTAATTCACACGCGTGTTTTAGAGATGAAAATATCCAGGAAACACCAGACACGACGAGAAAAACCGACCATACATCTCTACATCAACACGCAGATATTTGTAGCATCACTTCTATCACGCTACCCGCTCATTTGCAGTACCTAGAGCCTACTCAACAATGCAGCACAAGCTTTCATCATCATTGTCTTCCTCTTCAACTAAAGTATTTCCATTCTCTAAGGAACTTTACAATACTAAGTCAAATTGGCGTTGGACAATTTAGTAGTGTCTATCGTGCTGAGTGCAATCAACCTTTTGGTCTTAATGTAGCGCTTAAAGTTATCAAGGTATGTAAACTACCCCGGGCGTTGATATTGTATGGTGGTATATTACCACTCTTTTCAAGGATATGCGCTTTTGGATAGTTGTTATCACTGTAGCACATAATTTTCTGTGTCACGCTTTGTGTGCATTGTCTAAATGTGGTAACCTTCGTCGACTGGTTTGGAATATCTTTGACTAAGCTTTTAATTCCAACTTCAATTTTAAGTTCATCGAAATATTTCTTATTTCTATCTCTATTATTATCTTATAAACAGGATTCGCTTATGCTATCATTTATCTTCGATAATCATACTTTTTGAAATATTTTGAACTACAGGTGAAGTTTCTGTAAAACAAAGTTAGCTATATGCATAAAAGCTCTATATCTCGAATACGTAGTGCACCAACTCAAAGACATAGTGGAGTAAATCTTGATGGATTATCTGCATACTCTACTTTGTCCAACTACGATGTGCAAGGGTCCATTGGACAAGGTCAGTTTTCAATCGTATGGAAAGCGTTTCACATTCCGTCCCGTCAGACAGTTGCTATGAAAAAAATTAAGGTTAATTCAGTTTTCTGTGACTGTAGTTCACATTTGTTGTCCACCAAACAGATGTTGTGTATGTCGATTTAGATTTGATTATTTGCATGCAAACCAAATAATGTAACACTTTTTATTTAAAGTACCAAAAGTTAGGCAATTATAATTTGATTTATTCCTAATCCCAGTTATCATGTATTTCGCGTCTCTGACTGACCTTATTTTCCATAAAACTCATAAGTGTTTGAGCGATTTATATGATCTGTCACATACAACACAACTTTAAAACAAAGAAATATCAGTGCGAGTAATGAAATTTATGAACTCCGATATGTAGAATAAAGTAGGTGTTTATCTAGCTTTTCAGTGCATATACACACATACTGGTAATTTTGTTTGCTTATGACGCATACACACTTGTATTAAGAGAATCAATGAGATTTTTTGAGGTTTTTCTAGTTTTACCTGATGTAAAACAAATATATTTCGTCCAGGTACGCTTACAAAAAGACCGAATACGTTCGTCTTTGTGCTAGTTTGTTAATCCTTTATCGAGGGAGTTCACGAGCCAGTTCCAAAAGTGTCAAAGTAGCTACAAATGAACCAGAGCTTGAAGACAGGAAGAATTCATAAACGCATTTGAGTATATATTGTATTAAGGTTATGAATGGAGCAATAGTTGTGAAAAAATTCGTTGCTTTATAAACCACCTTGATTTCAATAGATAACCAAATGCACAGGATATTTGTGGAATAGTGGATTGTGGCTAGATCTAAGAGGAAGAAATACCAACATCCCAAATTGGGTTGAAACAGTCTGCTGAAATTATTAAACATTTAGTCGTTTATATTATTCAAATGCAACTCTGACGCTCAATGTATTAAATATCCTCGATGCTTGATTCCCGTCAAATTATATATTTAAGTTTTGGCGAATATAGTGATCTTCAGAATACTAAGGATTACTTAGCAAACGCTGTGTATAGGAAAATTAAAATCGGGTCCAGCAACTAAGTTGAATGTTTTCTATTTTTGTCACAAATTTTGGAGACATAACTACTATATATATCTCTGCTTCTTGTCTGTTAACTGTGAGAGATGGGATGCATTCATGACATTTTTCTGGTCGACGGTAAAAGTTTTTCCTGTCATGTTACTGCGCTTAAAAATCTAGATCGACAAATTTAAGTGTCAGTTTTAATATTGCAATAAAACCAAATGAAAACAAGAATCCAAAATTAAGCATGTTTAACAAACCTTAAATAAATACATTTATGCCTTATTTTGGTACTGGAACAAGAAGTTTTAGAGGCTGAAAACCGTACTAAACAATTTGAACACCCCTACATAACAGCAGCTTACAAGCGCCTCCTGTAAATTTGACATACATTTAATGGAAACTAAGCATATATATGTTGCTGTTGTGTGTAAATGCTAATCTTTCAATTAAGCATTACACATGGCTGAAAGTTTATCTAATCTTTAACTCAGATGAGTAGCTATTTGATCTTCCTCATAAACTTGACAATGCTGAAAGAAATGGCAAATAAGTTACCCCTTCACTTTTTTCTATTAACGCTGAATTATGTTTGCTCTTTCAAAAAAAGGCAATCACAGAAAATTGGGCAGAACAGCGTGAATTCATTTTATTTTCTTAAATTCTCATCGGCTGCTTTCAATTTATCATACTTTTGAATCAAAATTATCACAAAGTTGACATACCTATAACAAGGAAATTAGTCAAATGTGGACATCTAGCATCATGATAAAGTGGTGATCCGGATAAATGTGATGAGATTGGAGAGGTATAAAGAGTGTTGTGAATAAACATAATATGTGAGAGAAGATTCTGGGACATCAGCCGCAGTAACAAGAGATCAAGATGAATTAAACATAGGTTTGTTGTCCACTGTGATTTCCCTAAGCCTATTTCCTCTAATTTTTTTATATTTCTCGATAAGTTTCTGCATATATTCGTTGTTCGCCGGACATTTCTTTGACGTTTTTCAGGTCTGCTTTTAGTGTATCAATAGTACATCTTCGTTCTACTCCATGAAATAACATTTTAATAATTGGCTTTTGGTAACTAATATGAAAAAATAATAAATTACAAAGAAACCTCATTCCATGTATTTTTTCGATAATCTGCCCGTTCAATTGTTCCATTCACCCTGTATTGTATAACAGCATCGAGAAAATGAAACTTATCAACCTTTTCATGTTCCATGATAAGCCGGATATTTTTATGGGAATCGTTAGATAAATTTAGCATGTGTTTTGCTTGTTATCAATCGTTACCTACAATGAAAATGTCATGGACATACTGCGCATTACACGCCATATCGCCGATCGCTGAACATGAATGCATATATTAGAACATAACCAAGTGGACTTGCGATTATTACACTGTAAGCTTGACGGCATATGTTGTTGTCAATTCGAAATTAAACCTCTTATACGCACACAATAAGCATTTATTTGACTTCTAACACTAATAAAGGTAGGAGTTTAGGTTGCTAGCAAATTATGACGGTGGTTTCAGAAAGTGGTATTTCGGTAAGCAAGAATGTTACATAAAGAAAAACCATTGACTTCCCAGCATTATTTATATAATTAACACAGTATATAAACTAAAAATGGTTTTTCAGTGTATAAATAATTAACTGTTTATTCCCAACTTAGGTTACTCCTAATCAATGTCAATTTGTACTCATTTACTTCATCATGTGGTCAATTGATGCTTTTAGCCATGTGATCTCTTATTACTGCGGCTGATGTCCCAGAATCTTCTCTCACATATTATGTTTATTCACAACACTCTTTATACCTCTCCAATCTCATCACATTTATCCGGATCACCACTTTATCATGATGCTAGATGTCCACATTTGACTAATTTCCTTGTTATAGGTATGTCAACTTTGTGATAATTTTGATTCAAAAGTATGATAAATTGAAAGCAGCCGATGAGAATTTAAGAAAATAAAATGAATTCACGCTGTTCTGCCCAATTTTCTGTTCTTTCTCTTTTCAAAATAGTTAAGGGATTAAGTGTATGATTTTAGTTTCCCTCTGAATTCAAACTCAGGTTTTATTCTTGTACTTTCGGAGATTTTAATAAGTTAAAATACTTTTGGTATTCCTCCTGTTTCTGGTTTCTTGGTAAAACAAACACGCATAAATTTAAGCCAAGGATTTGCGTCAGTTAACTTGTTTTGTTTAAATAGCGTATGTATTAGTAGACTAAACCGGGAATCGTTAGCGAAACTACTTTCATCTATATAGCTGTAAGGTCCTATATATGATTATTGAAATTTCGGAGATAAACCTTGATTGTATGTCCAATATCTAACTGCATATTGTGGATTTTACACTAATAATTTAGTTCGCTTTTATCAGTATGAAATTATTATCTAGATAAAGTCAGTGTTACTTGTGTTTAAGCTATGAAAGTTTTTGTTCTCGAAATATGATATTGCATCAATACCTGATGGCCATTCGGTTGATGTTTGAAAGTGGTTAGAAAGCTTCCAATTTAATGCTAGTGTGACCGAATAAATAAAATGACTTGCCTATTACACAAATATGTGTATTTTAGACTTCAGACCTTACGAAAATATTTATATAGACCTGTTGACAGAACTATGCTTAACAGAACACCATAATGTCATATTGCTTAAGTTTGATAGGATAAACCTTCAAATCTGATTAGTGTGGTCAGTTGACAGCTATGAAAATAAGATGAATGTATCAGCACCCGGGATTTCAACACAACAACCGAATAATTTTTCACCAAACAGATTATGTCAGTTTAAGAGATTTTAGATCATCATTACTGGAAATTGAAGGTTTCATATCTATTTCTAAGAAAGGTCAGCATATTTCCACTAGTTATAATACAACTAATTTTAAACTTCTCAATGCATTATTCTTATGACAGTTTTAATACGAAATTTTCGCTTGCAGATAATTTCTTTAATCTTAAGAAAGTTAGATTTTTGTTTATAATAAACTTAATACAAAATTTTCCTTTGTTTGTTTCTAGTTTGATGACAGTCGAGAGCGATTGTCATAATTACGATTTTACCGGAAGGCTTCGTTTGTAATAATATTTCCGATAAATCTATCTGTTATTTCTCCAGGCATTATTATTAGATTTACTACAGTTTTTTTATGTTTATATGCCTATCATGTATCTGGAATTGCTTGTACTTAATAATTTTCATTGCTTATAATACTCTACTTGTGTCGATGATATTTTGTAAATAAGGATACTCATATAGTCACTAAATATATTTTTTTCTTTATGACTTCATTGAGTTGATTTTTTGTTTGATATTCTTTCTACAGATATTTGAAATGGTCGATGCAAAAGCACGTCAAGATTGTATAAAAGAGATAGACCTATTGAAAGTGAGTTACAGTTGTCTTTTATGCATTTTATTGAGTGAAAAAGTAAAATGCTGTTTTATTTTATAAAAACATTACTTTTTCACTTGGTCGCATATGGTCAGGTTATTCTGTAGATTTTGGCTATTTGAATGAGTAATTAGGTAGTTAGTACAACAGTGATTTTCAGACAGTATAATTCTTAATGTTTCCAGAAAACATTGTATATTTGGTAAATCATTTAGTATATCTGTATTATCCTAATGAGTAGAAAAATGAGATTTTCTGACGTTCCATGACTTAGTGTAGACCACTTCTTCAGAGAATAAATAAGTTGATTATTTATTCATTGGGATATTACAAATATATTATTTTTATTTATAACAATCTACCTAATGCTCAATTTATTCGAAATTATCAAGTCAAACCTTGGTAATGGTACCTACAAACTGATTGTATATTTCACATATTTCAATGACTTAAGTGTACGTTTTTCCATTAATGAAATTAACTGATAGTTTATCATAGGAAGAATGCAAGCAAATAGAACATCAGTGATTTCAATGTAAAATTTAGATAAATGCCTCTTTGATTTTGATCAGTAAATGTTTGTATCTCAAATCTGTATATCAGTGGAACACAATAAGACTCTCATCTGGTTTCTATTCAACATTACACTACTTTATGTAAATGTCAAACATGAATGAACCCCTCGTAAAAACACGGTAATCTAATAAAATTCTTCAACCTTACAGAAAATGGACTTTAGTTTTCAGAAAATTAAGTATTTTTTATCTAATGAAACAGTTTTTGCTTTTGACAATGCTAGTTATTATGACTTTATACTACTTATGTTTGGTAGTAGTAATACTGTACGAAATGAAAATATCAATAGTGAAAACAAGTTTAGTTTAACTGATTTCAAATGAATAATTTGTATGCATTCCTCATTAATATTCTGCCTATTTGTAAGGAATATTAACTACATTGATCATTTACAATCCTTCAATCAATTATTTATATAAGTAATAATGAATTCTTGTTCTCATAGTGATTAGGTTAATAAATATTTGAATTTGTTTGTTTATTCAATTCAGAAAAACAAAATTTAAAAAAAATTATATTGTATAAAACACCCAATAGAATTATAAATAAATCTTATTACCTATTCAAAACATCTTATGTTTATTTTAAAATACTAATTTTTTTCCTAGAAGATTTACCTAGAGATATGGAATATGTTTACTGATGTCATTCAAATTTAACGGGTAAACTGTTAAAAATACTGTAACTCATTTCAATAATAATACTAATAATATTTTGATTTGAAAATAGTAAAATTGGATTAAACAAAGATGGTGTATCTAAATACTTCTCAGTCGTATATTTCGGTCATGGATTCTTCTTATAAGGGGTATATTTACATATGAAGGCCTAATACATTTTTAAATGATTCAAAGAAAATGATATTGTGGTGTGTGCCACTTATATACACATAAGTAGTATATAACGATAGTCAGAAATAGAACGAGAACAGAAAGCAATCAGTATGAAAATGCAGGAACAATAAAATCTGAGACGATGGACTGTTATTTGCAAAAAGAACAGTCAAATTTGAGACAATTGATTGATATATTGCAAATTAAGTATTCATTGTATAGTTTTCAGATTTCAGTAGGATGTTCTGTAATTTTGTGTCCAAATATATTCGATTGTCCCCACTCGTGTTCTTGTTTACTACAATATGACTTAAATGCTTGCATAGAAATTTGATTATTCTTTTCTATATGATTCACCATAAGTGACCAGAAGTATTTAAAACAAAACTAACTTGTTTATTATAAGCAAAGGTGGACAGTGGCTAGCAGTGGAATCTAGGACGCGCGTTTCGTCCTATTTGGGACTCGTCAGTTGGATGTACCTGCATTTCGGATTTGATGTTCACTCTGAGACTCGAACCAAGTACCGTTCGCTTAAAACGCTATCGCGTTATCCACTTAGCTACTGAGCCCTGATAGCCACTTGCTTGTGCAATGGGGTGAAGCTTAATTCACTTGTTATTGTTTTACTTGAATCTTCCCACTGATGTTTTGGACTACAATTGATCAGTCTCTTATTGTCGTATGTGCATATTGCCTCGATATTGCCTTAAATCGTTTATTGAGTAAGTTTCTTTTTTTAGAAATAAATGGAAGTAATACTTATTAGGCACTTCTTGTTACTATCAATCACCCACTCATTTTATTTGATATATACTTTATTATTTAATGAATTATTTTATTAGAGATTAGATCATCCAAATGTCATTCGTTATTTGGCATCCTTTGTGGAGAATAATGAATTAATTATTGTTTTGGAACTTGCAGATGCGGGTGACCTATCTCACATGATTAAAGTAATTAAAATTTTAATTACAAATTATTGTTTTTAATATTCAACTTCATTATTGATTGACGATTAAAATCATGAATAGACTTAAACACTTTTTTAGTAGGATACTAGTAAAATACCCTTAGAATAAAAGAGAGTACGAAATGTTGTTTCGAATATTATAAATTAAACAATTATTCCGATTGTTTTGGAGCACTTCATTAATAGGTACTAGATCCCCATAATTAACTTTCTCATTAATTCCAAACTTCAAATTTCGGTTTTTCTTCTTCTTAAGGGAACAAGAATAAAAGTAATTGAGCTGATGGAATTTACTTTCATTTACTAGATATGTTAAGCGTAATTGATTATATTAAAATGATTCCAAATCTTTTGATGCAGAAAGATTTATACATTGTCAAGGTTTTGTTAAAATCGCGTTAGAAGGTTATTATAATAATAAATACTTTATTGGCCAGGTCCAAATACAGATCTTCAATGGAGGTTTCACGATGCTGAATAACGTATATGATCTATGATGTACACTGTTTTTAACATTATTCACAATATTTTAGATCGCTTTACTTCTTTTGATAAAACAATTTAAGTTACTATTTCCTGTTAAGTAAGTCGTTGATGATACAAATTAGTGTTCAAACATTTGTTGGTTAACAAATAAAATGTTATACAGAAATTAATAGCCGGGTTGTAGTCTCTGTGATACTTTAGTCCAAATTATTGGAATAAGTTAATTATTAAACAAAAAAGATTAAATCATTATAATAATTAGCTTACAAAAAACAATTCAGACAAATTGTTTATTGGTCCATATGCGTAATCTTGGATTTGATAGACAGGTATTGATCTACTAAACAAACACATTGAATGATGTGAGTTTGAATAACCGAGAATCTTTGATTTTTATCATGGTAACAATTACCCTCTACTTAAAATTTTAGTTGAACAGAAGCTTCTTCAAAGTTATACTACTCATTTATCAATAATCGTGAATATTTATTGTTTAAGTAGATGTCATTCTAAATTAATGTAACACTATTTTTGTTGAGTTAGTTTTTTGTCTTGAACGATCAATGGTTATAGAAATTTCAAGATCAAGACATTGATTGATATAAAATTTTCTTCTGGTTTCAATAGAATGTACTAGATATCAGAAATTTTTGTCTTATCATTCTTTCAATGAACTATTTCAAAGCATCATACATATTACTGGTAAAGCAAATATTTTATATTTTCATAGTGAATTCTCCTTTTCTAAGCATTTTAGAAAGAAAAAACGATTAATTCCTGAAAAAACTATTTGGAAGTATTTCGTTCAGATTAGTAGTGGATTGGAGCATATGCATTCGAAACGTATCATGCACCGAGGTAATGTATATATATATATATATATGTATATATATATATATATATATATATATATATATATAATAATTCAGCTAATTTTTTACATTACTTGCTCTGGGTAAATTTAGAACCTGACAAAGTCTAATCAAATAAGGACTGAAAAGCTGGTTAGACGATAAATTTAATTTTATAGATGCAACATTTTAGGTTTATAAATATTAAAACTACATAAAAGGACTTAAACCTTACTTAGCGATTTAGATGTTTCTTAATTTGAGTAGTTAGTTTTAGTCTCTTAAAGTGTTGAGAAACAGTATAGCTTATACTCTATCGCGTACAGTGAAACGTTTGTTCATCAATCTGCTCTTCGCTAATTTATTCAGTTTAATTTTATATATACCATTAATGTATTCGATTGCTTCACTTCCAAGAAGATCTCATTTGGGTAAGAAAAGATTTCGGATATTGTTATCATCTCCTTGGCGCCAACTTATCTAATTATATTCATTCTATACATAGAGATTAGCGTTACTGAATTCAACTTGTCTTTGGTTTTCATCTATTTGTATTGTTAGTTACTTTTTGTGATTCGACAATAAAACAAGGATTCGAGCAATCTGGTAATATGAAATATAAGAAACCGTTAAAATATATCGAATCCATTTTGTTGTTAGGTTGAATAGCGAATAAGCGTCACAACATTAATCCTGAAAATTTTTAGTTTGAAACATAAGGTTTGGTTATGAAGATATTTATAGACTTCGTTATAGGGATTTGTGGAGATTGTAGTATTTTAACGGTTGAATCCATGATCTTGCCCAACCCTTTATCCATTATCTTAGATGGGTAACTGTCTTACGGCCCGACACGGGTTGAACTCCACTGATCATATCTTTTCACTAGAGCCCAAGAAAGTCCAAGTTGAAGCTGGTCCCTAGTGGGCACATGATTATTATCAGTATAGGGGTTTGTGGAGATTATAGTATCTTCATTGTTGAATTCACGAGTCCATCTAAGCTAGACTTGTTTAAATTATACAGAACAATGGTTTAAGGACTATTTTGTATCTAGTTTACTTTAAAAAAGTCAAAAGGATGACAAATGAAGTTGACAAATATAGTTAACCAGTTTTCAGACGTTCCAGCCTTCGTGAGAAGGTAACAGTGTATAATAATTTAATTAGTGAATAGGCATATAAATTTTTTACCTTACTGTATATTCCTAACTTGTTATCAAAACATTTATTATAATCATAATAAAAAAAGACTACAACAATTAATGTCCCCTAGTTACTAATGATTCTTCTATATCCCTCAACTATACAGTGCTTGAATTAAAGCTTATTTTATCTTTTGTTTTCACAATTAAAGTATTCATTTGTCACAGTTGTTTATCAACTTTTTTTCTATTATTAATTGCATAACAATGTTTATATTATTCTTCCAATTTCGTCACATAATTTTCTTTTGTTTATATTTTTTATACAATGTGCGATATAACTGAAGTGTAAGAAATAACATCGTATCTAATCAATTGAATGAGGTCATTTTCTAGTACAAGGATGTTTTCACGTTTCTTTGGTAACCACATATCATCGGTATTGATAATAAATAATATCATACTAATTAAAATAATGAATTAACATAACCCTATCTTCCCACAAAACAAACAGCAAATAAGCAAACAAACAAAAAAAGGGAAACATACAATAGTAAATGAAGTTTGCTAATGTTCAATTTCATTTTATCTAGAAAAACTAGTCCAATGGTATTTTCAATAGTTGAGATCATGAGTCAATTTAAGCTAGACCACCATGAAAAACCTGGAATAACTAGACGGCCATTTCATCTTCCTCACCATTGCACATCCCCGATCCCGCCTCGCGGGGGTCGTCTAGCTTCAAATGACTCATGATCTCAACTATCGAAATTATTACAAAACACCTTCTAATACTAATCAATGGTAGTTGTTTTCATTTTGATTTGATTCACATAGTATTTCCATCAGATAAAAATTGGGAAAAGAAAAAATTGATGTAAGACAAAATAGATATTTCTGAAAAGAATTAAAAATGACCATAGTAATCCTCATATAGACACATTTATACATGAATCTTATTTTGATAATAGAAATCATTTTGTTAAGAAGATTGAATTAAAAATTTTGCTCATTGGCTTGAAATGATTCATGAAATCAGCACAACAGAATCTTTAGAAACTTTATTAAATCCGTGCTGATAGATTTCAATGTATTCAGAATACTTGTATAATGATTCAGTTTATTTATAAAATGACGTTTAATTACACTGAATTTAATTTGTTGTATATCTTTATTAGATATCAAGCCCGCCAATGTGTTTATCAATGCTAAGGGTCAGGTGAAACTAGGAGATCTTGGATTGGGGAGATATTTTAGTTCAAAGACTATAGCAGCTCACTCCTTAGGTAAGTTATTTTTATCCCTTTTTTCTTGATTGAAATTTCAACAAATCTTTGACTTTGTACACGAAGCACAAAACATCTGATGATTGAAATCGAAAATATAGTTTGGATTATTTCCGGGATATTATTAAATATTACAGTAGTACATTTGATTGTATTTTCGGGTTAATAACACCATAATCTCGGCATTAGTGAAAGTTAAAGATATGTTTTCGAAGGAAGAACAACGGAATGTTGTCTATGAGACCAACTGTCATGATTGTAATGCAGATTATGTAATCAAAACATTCAAATAATCTAATGTTTAGTGGCCCTCGTATATGAGACTCCAACTTGGAACGTGTGATCATCGTTATCGACTTATACATATTTCCAATCCTCGTATATAATCATGGACTTAAATCGCGTTAGTGAACAACGGAATTAAATAAATCAAATACTAGCATGAAGTTCTGAATACGTATATTGATCCAGACAAACAATCAGAGAAAGTAAGAGAAGAAAGAGAAGAGAAATGACGCGTAGTGGCATGTAAGCCAACTCACTTTAATCAAGCGTTACAAAATATTTAGTCGAATCGAAGTAAGGCAAGGCAAGGCGAATAATTACCAAGGTCAAAATGTAACTCAAGAAGAATGAATAAATTGTTCTATCCAGAAGCAAGAAAAACCCTTGTGAGCTTGTAATAGGGCAACACACTACAAATATGAGGTTGAAGGAACACAAACGATATTTGAAAAATGTGCCTAAATCCTTGATTGACATAAAGAAACTTGATAATAAGTCGAAGATAACGTTACATGAGTTAGAAACAGGACACAAAATCAATTTTGAGGGGACCAAAATACTTCAGAAAGGGCTTGACACACATAAAGAAAGATTGATGGCAGAAGCGTTATACATATGGGCGGCCTGCTTGAATATCTGGGCTTCCTGTTCCTGCCATTTGGATATTTCAACAAGTTATCTGTTTTCTTGTTTGTTTTAACACATCATTATGCCTATTAGTCTCATAACCTATTCAGGTGCGTTTGTGAAAAGTTTACGACATTTCTCTGTACAATTTACAAAAGAGCTCAATCAGAAACATAATGGTTACTGGCAATATGCATCGAAAAGGATATAAATTTATCAGATGTCGATTCCTGAACCGCTGACATCTAACTGGCGTCCACTCAATATTTATCGCAAGAACTGATAAAGAAATAAGAAAGGGAAACTTGTTGAAATACTTTGTGCTGAGAATTCTATATTGTACCAAAAATATAATATTGAATAAAGCCACTAATAATAATAATAATAATAATAATAAAGATGGTATTCAACTAGTTACCACTTGGCAAATGTTCATTAACAAGCATTTGGATCCTTTCTCCATCCAACCTATTTATTTCACTCACGTCGTTAATCTGACAGAAATTAATCTGGAATATTTTAGCACTACAATTATGTATTTAATTTTTTTGTCATTTCACATGCACATCGACAGTTGAGAAATGAATTCAACTTCTAACTAGCCCATTTACTTCATATGACACATTAATAACTCAATCTTACACACACAAATCGTCCAGTCACTTATTTTCACATCGTGAACTTTTCATATGATTCGCATATAACTGACTCACGTTATCCTACTTACTAAAGTCACCATCTGAATGTGATTGGATAAGTACAGTAAAGATTTGATTTGGTTGTTAACCATGATTTTGTTTATTACCCTGAAGAAGTATAGACAAGATTGCTAAACGAAATGTTGGAATTATTTAAATTTCAATCACTGAGATTATTTCTCTTGTGATGTGCGGTGTTCAAAGTCTGATAGTGATACTCAATGTACTACGGTCTAACACCCCCTCGTCAAATGCTTATTTCAGAGAGAACATAAGAGTGAACGAGAAAGTGTATCGAGGTACCGAATGAAATGCATAAATACCCATTCATATATATACCACTCTATTCTTAGGAAATTATTTCATTGACCCCAGTGAAATTCACTTGCCTATTAGGTTGCCATCGGTTGACCTTTTGCTACTTCTGATTGGCTCACCATATCAATTTCAAATACAATTTTCACATATAACGTATCCTCTATACTCGGTGTTTAATTTGTCAAACTATTCGTTCTAATATAGACTAACATTCATATACATGATTACATTTTTCTTTTGCAATTAACTATATTTGAGATTATGTTAACAATTTAATACTCTGGAAGCAGTGTTGACACTAGTGCTAGGGATGGTTGGAAGAAAGTTAGGGGCGGCCAAACCAAAACGTGGCATCAGTGCTTGAAATCACTAACTTCGGGTCTGAGACATGTTGGTAGATGCAGAATACTTGGTTGGGGTCGGCGTGACTATCGTAACCAATGGTTGGAGACTCTTGGTGACATGGCTCAGAATCTATTACAATGGCGTAGGTGCATTCACTCTAGGTTTTCCCTTAAACTACGAGATTAAAATCGCTTCATATCTTTCTACCTAAGAATTCTTTCTTCCTGTACTATATCCTTATATGCAATCTTTCTTTTATATATTACTACCATTGAATTAACTACTTCTATGAATCCGGTGTTCATCTTGCTGTGCTAATGCTGTATGGCAACTTGGACTGATGCATATATGTGTCTAGTCCTACGTTGTAGCTGACTGACTTACTGACTGAATTGTATCCCAAGTTTTTTAATGCAAAAAACACTTTGTTGAAGATGAAAATATTTTGCCTAATAGTATTCATGAATGATAGCCCATCATGTACAAAGCTCTTATTTCACAACTTTAAAAGATAACAAAATAATCTTAACAGTCAAAACTCATTATTTTCAAGTTAACATTTTAAATACACATTGTTCACTTCATTACTACTCAACATTGTAATACTCTATAATGATAATATTTCATTATTTTGTTACTAATTTGGCTTTATAAATGCATCAATCATTCTATGAATCCTAATTGATTGACGTCCGACTTGAAATTTACATTTTAGTTTACTGATAATGAATATATCTAAATCATAGAATTTTCAACTCTCTCTCTACATATATATATATATATATATATATATATATATATGATTACGTTTCTTTCTCTGAAGGTTGGGGGCAGGTTTAGAAAACATTTATTCTTATAAAAATATAATGAGATTCTTTATATTTTAGTAGATTTTCCCTATTTATTTCATTACTATCTTCTAATTTTCATTTTAAAGAATTCAGATAATTATTAGATTGAGTCAATGAAGCATACAACCTTGAATATTATATTACAAATTATAAATTATTTAGTAGTCTACTATCCTTCACTGAATTCATCTTTTTTACAATTCTTTAATTATAATTGTTAGCTTCAAAATTTAAGGGGAATTTATAAAATGAAAATTTCAACTCTACAAACTGCTCTTTAACAGTATTAAGAATAAAAATAACCCAACAAATTACTATACTTTTAAATTCATTAAAGTTACCAGTGTAGTGAATGAGAACATAAATGGAGGACAATCGAGAACCATTCAGTAAATACTTAATTTACAAGATTTCAATCAATTGTCTCAAACTTGACTGTTCTTTTTGCAAATATCAGTCCATCGTCTCAGATTTCATTGTTCCTTCATTTTTATACTAATTGCTTTCTGTTCCCGTTCTTTCCTTCTCGATCTTCTGCTGCCAGACATTCTAATCCATGTTTCGTTGCATACTACTCATATTGATATAAGTAGCATGCACCACACTAGTATATTTCTTACTTCTCTAGGAAATTAAAAAAATCAATTAAATTAGATGTAGTAACATAGACTGATAGATTATGTACTCATTAGGGACTACTTACAATCATCTAAAATAAAATAAGCAGAATGAAAACTAATTACCCAGTTAAAGCTCTGGATATTCGCTTTTTGTCGTCTCAATTTCGTGAACAACACCCCCGCCACGAGCAGGTAGTGAGTAGGACTTCCCTGTCAAAGACTATATACGCGTGGCCATGTGAGAGCATTTCGAGAGGGAGAGAGGACTCTCTCTGCTCTCGGTCATAACAGGGCATTTGGGGGGTAAGTAAGAATTCTTTGGTTTAAATTTTACAGGGGAATTTTTTTATTTGTTATTTTTGAAAGTATATGACTACATAAAAAGATGATACAAATAAACAAACCATTTTTAGTTCAGTGGAAGAACTTTTAAACTCCATTAGGTCATTGAACCTCTAAGTCGATTTGTAAACTACACTTTTGTCATCAGTGATAAAGAATGAACATTTTTGTAATAATACCTATTACTATCCAATACAAAAAACCAAATGGTTTATATGATAAATTATGAGTAATTAAATATGAATAAGTAAATTGAGAATATTGAATGTATTTCATATTCAAAATAGCAGTACTAAATAAATTAGCAACCGTTCTATCTCAAACCTAACTGCTTATAATACAGATAAGCATAGATTAATTCTGCCCATTATGCACTAGTACATGTAATTATATTTGTTTCGGCTGGAAATAATCATCAATTAAAGAAAATATAAAATAGTTTTAAGCTGGTTTATCTGTTTTTTTTGATGAATCTATTTATTTCATTTTCTGTTGTAGTTGGTACACCTTATTACATGTCACCAGAACGAATACGTGAACAAGGTTATGATTTTGCATCAGATATATGGTCACTTGGATGTTTACTTTATGAAATGGCAGCATTACAATCACCGTTTTATGGTGACAAGATGAATTTATTTCGTTTGTGCCAAAAAATTGAACATGGTGATTACGCTCCACTACCTAAAGAAATTTATTCAGCTGAAGTTAGTTTATTTTATTAATGCACTTTTATGTACTTGGCTATTGCTTTATAGGCAGGATCCTTTCTTATTGTGTGTATAGTACTTCATGTTATGATTTTATTCAAGTGAACTGAGCTATTTTTAAACTATGAACTATTTGTACAGAATAAAGTTGTATCGCTTTACGCCTGTAGATAAGTTCGTTGATGACATACTCTGCTCAGATTATTTTACACTACAATTATTCAGTAATAAAGGTATTTAATTTTAATTTAATAGTGAGCCAGGTAATAGTAAGCAAATATATACACCATATCTTTACGTAAGGCTCTGGTTTCCCCATGCTAGTTGCGGTAACTCTAGCAGTTTCCGTAAGAGGACATTCTAGGGAATGTGTCAAATGATTACTTTGCATTCCATATGTTATAAAGGACTTCTAAGGGTTTGATTGGGCCCAGTATTAATTAACCGTAACTACCTAATAACTAATCAGTATGATTTTATATCAACCACCACTTAATTAATGTCAGAAAGATTCCCAACGCTTTTATAGTTGTAAAATGGTTTTTACCTAAGATCAACAAAACCTGGAGAGATATTAGAAACCAGCTATTTTATCCACATTTGAGAATATCTAGAAGTAAGTAACTTCACATTCTCCGGAAACTAAACTAGGAACCTTCATGCTCCATCGAGTAGGTTAAATTTAGAACAGTGACTAGCATTTAATAGTCATCCATTATATCAGTCATTGTTCTGAGATATTTGAAATGTATCTGACATTCTCCAACTAGACCACATTGAATTTTCCATAATATTAAACGTTTGATTACTAGTGAGTAAGGAATTTTGTAGAGACTGATTTAAAACTGCTTTCAATCTTACAACGTTTGAATCCAATATATTTTGATAATCATTAATTAAGACGATTCATACAATTATCTTAACATCAATAATACATGATGATGTCAAAGTTAAAAGTAGTAGGTATCTTCATAAGATTCGATATAATTTACAAAAATTATAGTATATGACAAAGCCTATTTTGTGAATTGAAAATATGAGTTTCTTCAAAATTCGTTGTTGAGTAAAGCTGTAATTCCAACTATTTTGCTGTTACCTTATTTGTGAACAAATCGTCTTCAGAAATATTTGTTTGCATAGATTCGAATAACGTGTCACCCAGCTTCACAGTCAGAGACGTTACTATTGAGCTCTCGAGGCCACCGGGTGATCAATAGCATGTATATCAGGACCTTCTCAGTTCAGATCGAATCCTGTCGACCAAGGTGCAATGTGGCCACCAGTCTAAGTGATTGGTGGTATGGTATGCTATGATATGCGTTAGCCCTCGGACTGACTACTTGGGCGAGAACACAAGAGTGAGCGAGAAAGTGTATTGGACTACCGAATAAAATGCACAAATACTCATTCATATATATATATATATATATATATATATATATATATATATATATATATATATCCCAATGAAATGAGCTTGACCTTTATATCACTTCTGATTGCTAACGACTGACCTATTCTTTGGGCTACTTCTGATTGGCACTCTATATCATAAAGTGTTTTAATTTATTAATTTTTTATATACAAGTTAACTGCTTGATAATTATAAGTTGCATATTTTTTTCTTAATTCTAATCAAAACTATATTTTATCATTACAGCTTCGTGAATTAGTCACTGTATGTATACAAAAAGAGCCAACGAACAGACCATCTATTACACATATTTATAATATAGCTAAAGGGATGCATGAATTACTTAATGGAAAGATTTCTATCTCACCTTCATGTTCTCAACTTGATTGTCGACCATCTTCAGCCATTACAAAATAATTTTTTTCATCATTATTTTCCTCTACATCGAATATACAATTGATTCAATATATTGTAAAAGATAATTAAATATCATTTCAACGAATTATATTTATTGTCTTTCAATCTTTTCTTAAAGGCCATAATAATAACAAATTTTTTTAGAAAAAAAAGCACACAACTGAATATGAAAATTTGCCTAATTGCTGTCTAATACAGGAATGTACAATTAACAATTTATTTTTTAAATATTCTCATACTACTGAATTCAAAATAATATTGTGCTGATTCAAATTCGGTTTGTTTGTTTATTTAGAAGAGACATTTTTCTTGCCTTTTCTTTTTTGTTTTCTTTAATTATTTTGTATCAAATAGTAGTAATTCTAGTTTTGTATTTAAAAAAAAAGAAAAAAGAAGAAAAAGAAAAACAAACAAACAAAACAAGAACAATAAACTAATTTGAACAGTTTCCATTGATTTATGTATAAATTTATTATTCATTAGAAATAGTTTGCCATAAATGATCAATTTGTTTTCATTTATGAAATTACATATCATTTATCTGTTATGTAACAAAACTCTATAAAAGCATTATTTACTTCCATTAATTCTTTCTGTATTGTTTTGGTCTTGGTTTGTTTTGAGAAATTACATAAACTGATTGCCTCCAATATTATTCCAGTAAATTTTGTTATAATTAATTATTTAATTAATTTTGCTTTCATATTAGATTTAGAAAATATAATTTTATTCTTTGATTATAATTTATAAACTTAATTAGTGTTTTCTTTATGTAAGAAAGATTAGTTCAACGAAGAGTTCTCTTTTAGATGAATTCATTTTCAAAGCTGTACAAGTGCAAATATATATATATGTATACTTATTTTTACAGGATGATAATATTACTGATAATAAACTTCTGTTAGATATGATGACAATAATGTTAAATATACAACGTTATTTTTATGGAGTTTTGTTCTCTGAACTGGATAGTTTGGTTGTGGAGATTTCATCGTTCTTCTGAACGACATCATCAGCACAAATTTCAGATAGAAATGAAGTGTTCGAGTTTCTCCATATGCGTTTCACAGCTTGTTCTGTACACCTCGATGTTAATTGGTTCTTATTGACCTTAAATCAACATCGAGGTGTACAGAATAAGCTGTGAAACGCATATGGAGAAACTCGAACACTTCATTTCTATCTGAAATTTGTGCTGATGATGTCGTTCAGAAGAACGATGAAAGCTCCACAACCAAACCATCCAGTTCAGAGAACAAAACTCCATAAAAATCATCCATCTGAGCTACAAATCTTCTCCATCAACTCAAAGTTATTAAAAATTCTCTTAAAAAAACAAAGTTTACTAATCGTTTGATTGTTAATGGCATAAGTATTCATCAAAAGATAGATAGGGAAACGGATAGCTCAGCATGATAAGATAAATATTGAAATCAAGATTAAATGTAATGAGAATGATCGTGGAAACAAAATGAATCAGGGGTAGAAAATGTAAAGAGAAGATGGAGAGTGAAGCAGGTGGCTGTAAAGAAAGAAGAGTATAAAAAAATAAAAAATTATAAGAAGAGGTTGTACCAGTCGTTTTTGAACACACAATTCTGGCTTTTCCAGATGTATGGCTAATGCTTCGGCAATGCAAATGAGATGCAGTCTAATTGTTTTTGGGAGATTTCTGCTTACCTTGTAGATGACTTTGAACGCAGAGTCTATCTTGATTGAGTGACTAGTGTTCACAAGGTGTTCAATTACTGAGCTTCTTATTGAGCCGCTTCCTACTCTTTTTAGCCATACCGGACAATGTTCTTGAATTCTTTTGGATAAAGTATACATCGAACGACCTATATACCTAGCTCCACATGAGCAGGTAACTCATATTATGTCATGTAGCTTTATAGCAATAAAGCGCTTCATTCAAAATATCAATGATACCCTTTATAAATATTGCCATAACAGTTGGAGAAAGGAAATTGATTAGATATGTTTATACGAGGTGATAAAAGAAGTTGAAACTAACTTTTACATTGTACATTGGTAACTTACATAACTATCTCTAATATTGTACTTGTTATCATTTTAGAATAAAATGGATAGAAATCGTAATTCATAAATATAAAAACAGTAATAATTTGAAAACTAGTCTTAAGAATATTTTCATCACAAATAAAACATTAAACAGTTGCTTTATTTATATATGACGTAATAGTTAAGAACAAGCTAAAACCCATTTCAATGGTCTAACAAAATACAATCTATGCATAATGAAAGCATCTTGTTTAAATACATTATGTAAATAGCAAAAACTATATTAGAGATGATCACATTAGATTGAGTTCGAAAACAGCATAGATTCATGATAATCAAATTATCTTTATCAAGTAATTTAAACAAAAGCAAATGTTTTTTTACTGAACCTAGAAACTATCGACTAATCTATTTTTCAATTACACGATATAGTTTGCAAAATATAGTGAATTCTTTATATTTCGATGCTTTCTCTTTGACTTCATATAAGTTAAAAAATTTATTCGGTGAGACTATAATTTATGGACGACCTTTGAGCGACGCTAGGTTGATTTTCAAAGTGTCCACCTAATAACTAAGACCAAATGAGTGTTATAAACCAGTGTGGGAAATTAGAATTATGATTTACAGTTCATTGTTACGGTTAGGAATTAGATTTTGGGTTTTTATCACGAACTGACATCAGCCATAATGCCAAAACTCTATTTAACCAAATGAATGAGTGAATTTCGCGCCAAAATTTGAGACCTGTTGTTTTATACCTGATTGGTTCGTCCATAAATCATAGTCTCGCCATTTATTGATTTCGAGTTACTAACGTAATTTAGAATTTGAGGAAATGAATTTTCCATTGATAAGGAATAAGTGGTTTAGAATGTATACATTGTTAAAAATTGAATTGTTAACAGGTTTATTTTATATGTGCTTGGAATGACAGTTCTAGAATAAAAAAGCTTTACTACACGATATGACAAAAATCTAACCAACTTAGCAAGAAGAAACACAAGTGAATTGAACGCGTTAAATTTTGACTGTAATTAATTAAAGAACAAAATTCAAGAAAAATGTATCTATATGTTTTGGCTACCAAGACAGATAAAGGTTAACTTCGGACTTTTCTTGAGTACAAAGATCAAGTTTAGGTCTTCTAATTACCCTGAATTCCATAAAGTTTATTAATGTAGATCTGAATTATTTACTGTTTAAGTATCGTCTCAAATTATGTTAGTAATTCGAGATAACTAGGCTTACTAGCTTGTATGTAACTGAGGAAGGAGCAATGAAATACAGAGAATACAGTAAATAGTGTCGTTCTCACTTTATTTAAATCACAAACGTATCAGAAGTTTAGTACGTAAAACGGTCTGACAGGCAATGACGATAAATATATAATTATTAATAATTGGATGCTAGAAACATGACTAGCAGTCACTTTACATTATTCCACGTTATATTAGCATAATGTGAACTGACCGAACACTATCCACTACAATTACATGAAGAAGTAATTGTGTCTAGGATACTCTCTTGAATTCTAACTAGTCAGTAGGAATATATTTGAGACAAGTTTAATCACAATTGGTTACGAATGTAAGGTTGTTCATAGATAATATTACTTTTAGAAAATTAAAGTATAACATAAGAGATTGTGTATACAGTTAACGTGTTAAATAAATTTACATTACTGAAATCTTATGCTACTTTTACTGTTGTTGATAAGTTTTTGACTGAATTTTAGTATTCCAAATCGTATTACGAATCAATAAAAATTGACTTGGTATTGTTTGCTTGTGAATTTAAACTTCACGCCATTAAACAAGAAGGTGGCTATCAGGACTCCATAGCTAAATGGATAACGTGATGGAGTTTGAAGTGAACGGTACCGGGTTCGAGTTTCGGAATGATCATCAACTCTGAGATGCAGGTACATCCAGCTGACAAGTTCCAAACAGGACAAAACACGCATCATGGATTCTACTGCTAGCTACCATCCATCTTTGTCAGTAAAAATTGGCTTGAAATTCATACCGTTGTACAATTGAATGGCTACACTGACTCAGCAGCTAGCTTGATTGAGAGTTAGCCTTCTGAAGCTAAAGGTACTGAATTCGAATCCTAGAATGCACATCAACTTCTGGATGCAGATATTTCAAGGTGGCAGATCCCAAAACCTGTGTTTTGATTTTCACTACCAATCACATCACCTGATTTAGATGGACCGAATTCACCTAAAAATTGACTCGCACCATTCTTCATTAACGTAATTTAATAGGAATGACCATAAAAATATGAACAAATATATAGGTGACTAATTAACCAAAATTCTAAGATGATGTCAATTAATTCTATGATTAACAGCCATGATATACAAATACTTAGCTGAGAGTTGATTCTTACGGGCATAACCTAAGTAAATGTAAACTTCACTGTCAGTAAATATTAAAGATAAACAACACGCAACCGAATAAATGTAAATAATCTGTTTATAGAGTAAAATATATACCAATATATATTGGAGTCCTATCAAAAGGATTAACGATGATTTTATTCCATTTTTTTTGCTTAAAGGTGTCAATGCAACAGAGACATCAGTGACTAAAAACTAAATGCCTGTTCAAACACACCGTAGTGTATCTCGAAAACGTAACGATGAACCCGTTATTCAACACTAGTGTAGTGTTTGTAATTGTTTAGTCGATCGAAAACTGACATCTATAAACAACAGACAATGAGCTTAAATCAGCTGCAGGTTTGGATATTTATTTGGCAGACCACATAATTTAGAAATCCTATTTTAACGTGACCAGTACTTTTTTTCACTATGTAAATGCTTCGAAATTGATTTCTGTTCGAAAGTCACATGTCTAAGTAAATATAACTGGCCAATACAACTTTGCTTAGATCGAACAACACCCCTTATTTAAGCAATAGAATTCACAACTTCATTCGATGAAACAATAAGGTGTTCACTATGGTAGTTAATACTGAGGACAAAAAAGTTGTTTTCTTACCAGTCGATGCCAGTGATCATTCTGCTCGAGCGTTTCAATGGTATCTGGATAATTTAAGAGGGGAAAACGATGAGTTACACTTTTCATTTGTCATTAAACCAATATTTACAACACCAACAATTGAACTGGCTATGGCATCTTCACCAATAACCGATATTATGCAGTCAACACAGGTGAACATTGAAAATGCAAAGAAACTTTTACAAAAATACTTGATAAAAGCAAAACGTTTTGGTATTTCTTGTCAAGCATTTGTTCATGTAGATGCTAAACCTGGACCAACTTTGGTAAAATTCGCTGAAGAACAAAAAGCAGATATTATAATAATGGGATCCAGAGGACTTGGATTAATTCGTCGTACATTACTTGGCAGTGTTACAAACTACGTAATGCTTCATACAAAAACTCCATTGGTAGTCATACCGCCTCCAGTAAAATAATTCTTATCTACTTATGTTTCAGTACTATCTGCACTCATTAACTCAGGATAGTTTCTATTATTTTGAAATTAACTGCATCTCATGTATGTCATGTAATTGCGTATATTACTTTAATCCTTTCAGTGATCGTTCTTTTCTACAATTTTTAAGTTTAGATCAATTACGTGACTGTATTTAGTTTAAAAATAAAGGAGGTTTTCCAATGCTACAAAGAATGTGATTAAAACTAAGAGAATATTTTAATTTATTAAGCACAAATACTTATAAATTTGTACAACGAGCTCTTATATCAATCAACAAAGGCATGTTAACTCAGCTTTGTTACATATTTGCTTAAATATGGTAAAACATACAAACATACAACATTCATTGAGCAAGTAATGTGCATCATAAATTCTTAACCTATCAATGCTCGAAGTGATAAATGTTTGATTACAGTTAGAATAGTAAGATTAGGTGGCATGGCTTTGTATTTATAATAGTTTGTAAGCATATACTTTTTTATATTAAGCATCAAAACAAGTAATATTTTAGTAGAATCACATTCCTATAAACTACTTGATGTACAAATGATACCATTATATAATATACTCTTACAAGCTAGTGATTTTCTACATTAATAGATTTGTAAAGCGCCATAATAAATTGTTGATTTGATCTTTCTTGACTGAGTACGGATGTAACTACAAATGACTATTCTTAAATTTATCAATACACTGAAAAACAAACGTTGCATAGTTTCCATTTAGCCCAAGAGAATCAATTGTTGAATTTAAAACAAAGATATATATATTCTATAGAATGTATACTAGTCTAATATAAAAGAGAAGGAATACTAAAAACGTTCATATTACTTTATAAGACATGATTCATAAACTATTTTAACAGAAGATCAGTCGCAGAGTTGTTTCAGGATAAAATAACATAATCAGAGTTGACATAATTTCAGAGTATAATATTGATTCAAGAATACATACCGTAACAGTTATAAATCTTGTAAGTAGTTTGTGGAAAACGTATGTAAGCAGGGAAAGTGATATAAAAATAATACCATAATTATTTTTGATTGATCAAATATTATTCTTGCATTGTTCCGTTGTACTATTTAAACTTAGATTAATTTTAATTTGGTTATTTATTCTCTGAAGAAGTGACTTACACTAAGTCACGAAACGTCAGAAAATCTAATTTTCTACTCATTGGGTTAATACAAATATATTATTTATTTATAATGCCATAACTGTTTTGAAATAACAGACACCACACTTTTTAGTTGGAAGGTAAAACATGTAGTTTAGTCACTAGTGATACAGTTTGGTGCATCATAACAACATGTTCAGTATTTTCCGATCAGCATTGCTACTTTACAGGCTTGCAGTGCGTTGAGTAGTTGTATAAAGCATTTAACGTATAGAACAGAACAAAATTTACTGAATTATTACAAATATAGATGACGTGGGTCGAATGTTTTTTATAATATTCAGGTATTCAATTAACTTTTCATTTCTCGCAAGCGATAGGACACACCGTTTAGGATCTAGTATTTTTTTGTTGGTAAGATGACTGAAAAATAGCCTCTATAAAAGAAGTAATAGTGCTAAATACTCTTAGTTCGGCTACAAGATTCATAAAAGCATCTACAGCTAAAGAGAGGAAAACGAAAACAGAGATGATGTAACAAAACAAAGTCAATGCGATGACTTTTAATTTATCTTTTCTTAGTTATTAAAGACTCATAAAGGAAGTTCTCTAAACTGACCTGTTGTTCGAGATACAAAATAAATGATGCAAGTACAGTAAAGTTTGTGATTAACCGAGTATGACGTGTTTCATAAAGTTAAAACATAAGATAATAATATGAAGGGTATTGTTATCATTATATTTATTTATAAGCATTCATACATTTTACATACTCATATTCTCACTGGTCAACAGTGCTTTAAACGTTGGTGTAAGCGTTTTTATGGCAGTGTCAGGAGAGAGAGCATTATTGATTCATTATATACACAATCGTAATTAGTTGGTTTCACAGGTAGACCGAGGCAAACTATTAAAAATCCTTAAAAATTTACTTGTAAATCAGTTCGTTAAGATAGTGAATTTGTATTGAAAAATCATCCCTTATGGTAATGAGAAACGAATGATGTAACTCTATGATTCTGTACACTGAATTGCACGATTAAATGTTAAGGATAATTTACTTCAACTTTTGAAGAAAAAGACGATATTCAATTAAAGGTGCTGTTTTCTTGAAGGATCAAGTCCCAGCTTAGTACATCTGGATTTTTAGCCTAAGGTGTAATCGGTTCCAGTAACACAAAGAAAGTAGAACAGAATGAAATACTTGGTTTGAATACTTATAGGGATGAAAGTGCAGTATTTTAGTGGTGATCAAACACATACTTTGTAAAATAAACTGGGTAGTTGTTGTGGAGGTCGCATAGTTTACAACCCTGAAGTCAGCACGTTTTGAATACCTGTATAGTGACAACTCGAGGGGACAAATTGTAGGGATAATTGCGTCTCAAATCTACCACTTAGTTGAAACCCACAGTAAATTTACAATTAAATCACAATGAAATCGGTAACATTCTTTTTCAGAGAATTGTAAGGAAAGGGGTTCCCCAAATTTATTTTAAATTTACGATGTCAGTCTGAACCTCTGGGTTCCTAGAATTTCAGCTGTGCATAAATGTCATATTCTCTATGCTTTACTTACTCGCTCAACTGTATTTGTGAGTTTTTAGAGAAGGCTTTTATTCGAGCAGATAGAGTTGTTAAGCTACGTAACGTTCTTCGTTTCATTTCTGTTAATCAGGTATGGCAATATTCATGAGTATGCTTAGTGTTTGTGAGTATGGTACGCTTGATGTGGTTAGTTAAACCTTTAGTCTATTTTGTGGTGGAACAACAGTTTAAAAATAACACCTTATGTATAGTTTACACGAATAATTGATTGATCCCACTTAGGGACAAATGTTCGTATAAATTATACATTGTGACATAGTAATTAGGGTCAATAATTATTTGAAACAGAAATCCAATCATTACAATCAATAACCAATCAATTCTTGTTTGTGAGAGTACAAACACGTTACATTTGTCACAAAATCCCAATGAATTAAACTCTCATATAGGAAATACACCCAAACTTCGCAATAAAATGATGTTAAAAAGACCAAGATGAAATTGTTTACATGAAATCGGTGATTACTATCCATTCATTGTTATATTTACAATAAGATTATTGTACTTTAGTAAACCTCTGCATTTGCCATCTCACATATACTTGGGTAGACAAATTTAAATATTTAACCATAGGATGGTGAACTGTAATATTTTACTCTTGAGAAGATACACCAATTGAATTACAGATATTTGTCTATGGGAGAATACAGAATGTATTTCAAAAATGTGATATCTATAAATTAATTCGATCAAGCATTGACTGTTTATTACATTTTAAATGACAGTAATGTTAAGTTTAATTCATAAAAACGTATAGATAAGATAAGTTTAACTGTAGTTAGTGCTCTCTTAGTGTAAGTTCAAAAGCCTTAATGCTAGTGAAGATTGAGTGGGAACTGGCATTCATATATTAACATGTGGTCGATTGTTTTATTCATCAATGATAATAAATAATTGTATACATTTCCTATGTGATATTGATTTAATGACCTAATCTGCAGAAACGTCCCGGTTAATCGGACAACAACATATTGATTTTTATGACATTAAAATAACCAACCACTTTTATACTTCAAATTTATTGTGACAACTGGTGATTATTTACTATTTCAATTAGAAGCGGTACCCAATTTTCTCTAATTATTTATGGATATTAACTCTTCACTAATCAGATGGTACTACTTCTCGCTTAGAATTAGTTTAGATGGACATATAAATGAATAGTGTTATTTAAACCTGGATCCTATTCAGGCTCTATTCTAATATGTAGTTAAAAATAGATACGTAAAACGTAAACAAAAATACATTTTATAATAAACTTATTCTTAACACTAATGATAAGTCTGTTTGTGGCGTTAACAGAATTCAAGACAGTATTTTAAAATAAGCAAATATTTCAACCTACAGAGTAGCCCAAAACTGAAAAATTATCTCTAGACTTTGCACATCAAAATGACCTAATTGAGCCGTTAGAAATAGTTATGTAGGAGTTTATTTAATATGTGAATAGCTGCTTCTTTCTAGAATAGAACCTTTCAATAGTACGCACCACTGTGCTTTTAAAGATCCGCCAACTGAGTTTAACTAGTAGCAAACATTACCCATAAATTAATCTCCCGAAAACTTGTTCGATACTACTATAGTCGTACTCACATCGAGAAAAGTTCCTGGTTTTCTAGTGTAGAGTGACGAGCAGAGTTCAAATACAAGACTGAAACAGTCTACACCAATGACGATGAATGATCTCAGAGCTATATTATAAATCGATTGACGTCGGAAGTGTGTATAATTTGATATCCATCCAGTAGTGGAACGGTTAGGTACTTGTCACGAGACCTGAATCCTATGAGTTGGATCTCTGAATAGGAAGAATAGAAATCTTAACATTGACTAAATTTGCCAGAGCTATATCTAGTTTTCTTTTCGAAAGTTCAATGAGACTACTTCACTACTACTAGTAGTAAAATATGCAGTTGTCTCATCCCATCAAGGCATCGACTGAATCAGTTAACATAATAAACATAAGATGAATTCTCGGTGCAATGAAGATGACGAAACGAAACCACAATAGAAACCTACTCGAATAAAGTTTCAGACATCAACCAATTAGTCTGACGTTTATTTGTTCAATGAGGCCAACATAGAAATCTTAATTTCAAAAAATAACGTAACAGGATTCAATGTTGAGCATGTATGGATTGGAATAGGTGATATCTTTTGTTTGGTTATATTTGCTGATGTCAAGAGTATCATATCCTTTAATTTCTTCTTAGTACTTAACCATTTAAGACGAAGAAGTGATATTCTGTTTA